CGATTAAGGATTTGGTGCACCAGAATCAAATCAGCTTGCTGGGGATCTCGTGGATAAGTGCGGCGGCCGCTGCCATATCATAGATAATAAATACTGGAACAACAACCAGCAGGAAGAATACAGGAGCAACCAGTTCCAGTTGACAGAGCTACTAAAGACAATAGATAGGATGATAAAGAAAAACAAAGGAAGCTGCTACACCAATATGAAGCCACAAGCAGAAGAGGAAGAAATACAAAAAGAGGAAAAGCACAGTACAAAATCACCATAGACAGAAGTGAGGGAGAAAGCAAAAAGCAGCAATTTGAACAAGCTTTTGCAGCAGGAACAGCTGTAGCTACATCAAGCACACTTACAGGGGCAACTGCTTTTGTGGGAGCTGGGATAGGGGGGGTTGCAGGACTTGGTGCAGCTAAGGGGGCAGAAACTCAACCTGGTCTCACCAGAATGCGTGACTTCACCACGACTCCTTAACACCGCATTGCGTGGTGGAGTCACGAACTTTGCTACATTTACGTGTCTGCACCACACAAACAACCCCAATGTAAAGTGAATGAGGCTCCTTTGTCGTGGTGCACACACGCATTTCTACAACGTCCAGCAGTGAGCTTTTATTCTATAAAACGTTTGTAAAATCTACTTTATAGCTTGTAGTAACTCACGGGAGGCTTCTTTTATTTTATATTTATTTGTATTCATAATAATTTTTATTTTTCGTCAGAATGTATTATGATGCATTATTCACCAATTTTTGTTCTCAAAAAACAGTGCATTGTGTGTAATACAACTGTGATTTTTATTAAATGAGTTAGTTTTTAAGGAAGGCCAGAGCTTCAGCTGTGTCAAATAGATTGTTCCCTTTCGTTAACGTTATTTAAAAGATAATTATATTCCTATTTGATCAAGTCCCCTTTATTGTATTACGGACCCAAAGAGCTGAGCGTCCATTCCCATTGGATAACGGAGGCATTTTACACCCGGAAGTAAGTATTCTCCTTACTGTCGATTGATTTTATTAACAGTGATATCTGCACTGCTCATCAACTCAAAAACACCAGATTATCCTTGTTAATTACACAACACTGATTGGTTTAAATTGTGTACAATGCTTTTGTAATTTTCCCCTTCGATTCGGAGAAACACATATTTGTTCAGAGTTTACGATGGCCGAAGACACTACACTACCCAGAATCCCCAGCTATTGTTCCGCTTTGCCTCAAGCTCTGTGATTGGTTGACCTCCAACTGCATTCCATATGAAAAAAACGTTTCGTAAAAGATAAAATCATACTTTATTCAGCAGTGCTTGCTTTACTCTTTGAAAGTCATCACATGAATGCATTGTAATGAATGGTTTGGCTGCATTAAACATTACACATCTGTCGTAGTTCTTTATTTATCTACAGAGATCGGGCCTCAGAATAGACCGGAAACTATTCTTTTACCGTTCTGTTTTAATTTCACAATAAAGTTAGTAGTAATAATTTGTTTTGATATTATTGTTTTTTATTAACTACTAGACCGCTGGGTCATGTTAAGACCATCTTTTCTGTGTTGCTGTGGGTTTTTTACATCGCTTTTGTGTTACAAATATCAAAACAATAACAGAATATATCCGTCGTAAACTAAACCAGAAACAGCAGTATATTTTATTTTGTTAACACTGTAAACTTGACAGCTTTTTAACCCGCACCTCCTACTGGTTAAAGCACGTTATTACACGTTTAGAGTAATTGCAATGCAGGTAGATTGTGTTGCTTTTTAATGACTGTTTTAAAATGCCTTTTTCTTAATGTCTTTCATTTTTGTAAAGAACTTTTGAATGTGTTATATTTGATGAAAACATTTAAATATTAAGAGTACATACTCTTAATATAGTGGGACAGTGGAAGGTCAATGATATAAATAATATAGAATAGAAAATATCAAGAAGATACTGTAAGTGATCTCTACAATAAAGCAGTTTAGTGCCTGATAGGAGGATGTGCAAAACAGACAAACTAATAAGGCTTTATTTAAACATTAAAGAATACTTTAGGTTAAGGTCTTCTTTTAAATAAGAAAAAAGCTTTGGGGGTATCTACAGATATTAAGCCTGACAAAGTACTTAACGTCTAATATATTGCATGGTTTGTTTTGGAACTTGACAATCAACTTTCCTGCAATGTTAACTAGCACTTATTTTAACGGATATTATACATATTAATTATACTCTTATAAGATGTATGTAGATAGTATAAGAAATGTGCAGAATATGTTTAATGGTGGAGGTACACAGATATCGATAGATGTCTTGTAATGCACTGTTGATGAACCTGTGACCCACGTTTTTCATTCATTGCATAACTACACCGTAGTTGTGTATATGATATGTCAATAAACCTTAGAAAATCTTGAAATCTTGAAAGGGATGTGCAAAATAGCCATTATATACAGTTTTTAATTAACTATTAGTAGAGAATAACGAGTAATGAATATGCTTTATAGGGATCTGCAGATAAATATTTAGTCTTCTCAAGCACCCACTACCAATTATCTCGCCTGATTGTTGGCTGAATTCACTGAATTTTACTCAGGTGTAACTAAAGTCTGATTTAAGGGTTGTTCATATTTCACATCATTAATCCAAATCTGTAAAGTAACTAAAATAAATGTAGTAGAGTAAAAATACCAGGTTAACCTTAAAGAAAGCCCTCAGGATTATAAAAGACCCCCATCACCCCAGCCACAAACTGTTCTGTCTGCTGCCGTCTGGCAGGCGGTACCGCAGCATCCGGACTAAAACCATCAGACTCAGGGACAGTTTCATCCCACAGGCCATAAGACTATTAAACACCTGAACTTAGAAACAACATCCATAACATTCATCTGGCTGCTACTTAGAAATGATTTATCTAATATATCATATTCCAATCACTTGTATATAGACTCTTATTGCACTATTTCACTTTTTACTATTTTACTATTTTCTTTTTGTATTTACTTGCACTATTTGTTCTGTGTATCTGTTTTATTGTGTTGCACTGTTGGAGGAGCCTGTGACCTAAGGGGGGGGGGGGGGGGGGGGGGGGGTAGGACACGTTCTAAGCACATGGTGTAGTCCCATAGCTGAGGATTCTGGGTAGGGTAGTGTCTTCTGCCATCCACACACTCCGAAAAAATATTTGTTTCTCCGAATCGAAAGGGGAAAATACAAAAGCATTGTACACAATTTAAACCAATCAATGTTGTGTAATTAACAAGGATAATCTGGTGTTTTTGAGTTGATGAGCAGTGCAGATATCACTGTAAATAAAATCAATCGACAGTAAGGAGAATACTTACTTCCGGGTGTAAAATCCTCCGTTATCCAATGGGAATGGACGCTCAGCTCTTTGGGTCCGTAATACAATAAAGGGGACTTGATCAAATAGGAATATAATTATCTTTTAAATAACGTTAACTAAAGGGAACAATCTATTTGACACAGCTGAAGCTCTGGCCTTTCTTAAAAACTAACTCATTTAATAAAAATCACAGTTGTATTACACACAATGCACTGTTTTTTGAGAACAAAAATTGGTGAATAATGCACCATAATACATTCTGACGAAAAATAAAAATTATTATGAATACAAATAAAATAAAAGAAGCCTCCCGTGAGTTACTACAAGCTATAAAGTAGATTTTAAAAACGTTTTATAGAATAAAAGCTCAATGCTGGACGTTGTAGAAATGCGTGTGTGCACCACGACAAAGGAGCCTCATTCACTTTACATTGGGGTTGTTTGCGTGGTGCAGTCACGTAAATGTAGCAAAGTTCGTGACTCCACCACGCACTGCGGTGTTAAGGAGTCGTGGTGGAGTCACGCATTCTGGTGAGACCAGGTTTCAAAAACTCCACAGGAAGCAGTAGAGATGGCAGTAGAGGCTGTTACAGAGGTAGAACTCTCTGTCTTAGATAAAGCACAAGGTGTTTTAAAACAGAGGCCAAACGTAACATAAACTTCTGAATAAAGGGAAGAGAATGTATGAACAAAGATCCTTCTGCAGACTTCAGGATAATCTTCCTATTTATACGTAAAAAGGTCTACTTCTTGTCTGAGCTTCAAACCTAGGTCACTTGTTTCTGTTTCAAATACATTTTCCAATCTTAAGGTACGGACATGAAGTTTTAAACAAATGTGATATAATCCCCCGTGGACTGAACCTGTTTATATTTTATGATCATTTGAAAACTATTTTGATATTGTTCATACTGGATACATGGATTGACAAGGTTTTGTTCATTTTTATTTGCACAATTTCATATTTGTTCTGCAACTACTGCACAGCAACTCCCCCTAGAGTTAAACAAAAAGTTATACTATAAGTATATAAGTTATATTATTGTGGTCATTTAACATCTTGCCAAGGACAACAGTTGAAAATTAGCCTGCTGGCTAATACTGGCTCATTTACAGCAATGTGGATTAATGTGCACTGTCCTTTTAAATAAATAAACAAACAAACAAAATACACGGTTATGTATTAAATCTTTGATGTATGCAAATTATTATTTTAATAGATAAAGGTTGTGTTTCTTTGTGGATTAGATTGTATCAGCGAAACATATAACATTGAATAAACAGAATGCTATGAAAACATGTTAGTTCAGCAAATAAAGTTTGTATTTGGTTATTTCCCCCCACCACACATATGCAAGAACTGTAAGTGAAACTAGAATGAAACCTGCGTGAGAGCAAAGGGGAATAGACAAACATGATGTCTGTTACATGTGAAGCTGTTTTCTCTTCTCAAGATCATGGACATTAAGTTTAGATTACTTCCTTCAGTTTATTTTGTTTTTAACAATGCTCACTGTACAATACTCTATGTCATATGACATCTATCTGAGAAGACCAATGATGAGAGTGTTGTCTGATGCTATAACAAATCTATTAAAGTAAAAATAAAAAAAGGTAAAGTTTATTTTTGTATTCTCAAGAGAGCGTGACATAAATGCGACAAAACAGAACTGGAAAATGTGTTCAACCAAAAAGACCAAGCATGTGACGCAGAGTGTTTTTTGAAGAGTGGAAACCACATCCTGTTTCGAACTCCCGTTTGAGACTGAGAGAATTGTTCGTTGTGTTTCTGTGGTAAAGCTAAACTGTAGAAGCTGAAGGTGCATATGGTCCTTGTTGCAACAAGGATCATATGCAACACTCACTCTATTTTTCAGGTACGGCAGATGTAGATAAACTGGTATAGAAGGAAAGTAGAGTCAAACCACAGCGAGAGAACCGAAGACAGAACATCCAGCAGTCGGCTGACTACAGTCATTCCTTTTTATGCAAAATGGACGGTAAGTGTTAAGAGTTATTGTGATTATTTACTGTGAGTTGTAAAGGCTGCAACACTATATGTTAAAAATACTTTATCACAATTGTAGAAGTAAGTATTATCATTATTATTGGTGATACGTAAGTATGTATAATAATGTAGGGCGGATTCATCTTTTTAAAACGTGTTGCTATGTGTTGTGATTGTATCCTATGTTTTGTGAAGTAACTATGTGGTATAGTATAAAGTAGAATATTAACATATATTCCTCTGCAATGTAGTGTAGAAGGATGAAGTGGGAAATGAAAATGCTCAACTCAAGTTCAAATGTGTGCTTCAGTGCAGTACTTGAGTAAATGGACTTTGTTAATTGGATCACTATCCATTCTGATTAATTCTCAGAAAGAAAAGCTAAATAATAGTTAAAAAAAATATGTACTCATTGTCATTTATTCATCATACATACAGAAACAGAAAAGTCTTCTGCAGTGACTACTATGTGGTTTAATAGGTCTAAAAAGCAAACAGTCATGAACAAAGCTAATCTTTTTAAAGTACATTTTACTTTATCTCTACTCTGACTAGAACGTACTGTACGTAACCTGATCTGTGCCATGATGGGAAGTTTTGTCTGTAATTCCTTTCTTGTCTGTGGACACATCTGAATAGGTGGAATAAAGTTATCTAGATTTACAATAGAATTAGGGGGGATAAGCTCATCATCAGTTTATTCTAAGGATTTGGGTAAAAACATTTGGTGGGGTTTGTATGTCAGTAAAGAAGACTACATCTACAGTTAAAAAAGGAAGTCAAGGAACAAATAACAGAATGTAATTTTATGAAAATCGAAACTATCCACAGCAAGTTCCCTTCGTGTACGAACGGCAATTTATCATGGCCCACATCTGAATGCATGTGGTTTGATTAGATTCAAGCAAACATGAAGCCTCACCCAGATTTTTGTTAATTCATAGCAACAAGCTGAGAAAATGTTTTATCTTATTGGAATACATAATTCACCCCGTCACAAGACCCATGCCCTGTTGGGAACACCTCCGTTTTGGCTGAAATTCCTTTCTTGTCCTTCTCGAGGTCTGAATAGTTGATCGAGGTGTAATAATGTTTTAGACTAAGATCAGAAAGGCGTAGGGCTACTGAAGAAGCTGCCAAGGTTGCAAGTAAAAGAACAAACAAACAAAAAAACTGGTCATATAATACAGGCAGGCGATTGAAACATATTCACGGCAGTCTTGTCCCTCTGACTGGTAGTCGCTCCACTTTTGATTTGCTTTTGACAACATGGACGGTAAGTTATATTCTTTGAGTTTTTACAGATTTTTTTTGCCATTTAGCTAAGTTGTTTCATTTGTGTATTATTAATGGAAATTATTCTCTTTCAGAGTCTAACAGAAGAATTGTTATCTTGGGGAAAACTGGAGCTGGGAAAAGCAGCGTGGCTAACACCATATTTGGAGAAGAACTCTTCAAAATTAATGATACAGCCAAATCAGGAACAAGTAAATGTCAAGCAAAAACCAGATCTGTCAATGGAAGAAGCATCACTCTGATCGACACTCCTGGTTTCTTCGACACAGATCAATCCGAGGAGGAGCTGAAGTCTGAGATAATAAGGTGTATCATAGAGTGCGCTCCTGGGCCCCATGCTTTTCTCATTGTGCTTAAAGTGGATAAATTCACAGAGCAAGAACAGGCTGTTATCACAAAAATAAGCCAATACTTTTCTGAAGAAATCTTCAAATACGCAACCGTTCTCTTCACTCATGGTGATCAGCTCAGAAAAGGACAGACAGTTGAGGAGTTTGTCCACGACAATCAGAATGCGATTGATCTGTTGGAGAAGTGCGGAGAACGCTGCCATGTCATCGATAATAAATACTGGAAGGACAACCAAAAGGATGAATACAGGAACAACCAGTTCCAGGTGAAGGAGCTACTCAAGACAATAGATAAGATGGTAAAGGCAAACAAAGGAAGCTGCTGCACCAATGAGATGCTACAAGCAGTGGAGGAAGACATACAACAAGAGGTGGAGGAGCTCATTAGACAGTCATCAGGAACCTTGACACAGGAAGAAGTCAGAAAGCAAGCTAAAGACAGAGTATTTAACAAGCTTAATATCAAGCTGGCAGGCATTGCAACAGGTGTATTGTTAGGAGCTCTTTTTGGCACGGTAACGATGGTTGGACAAGTTATCTTGATGTTGACAGAAAAGTTGTCAGAGCCAGGACAAATTAAATCTTTAGCCTACAGAGCAGAAGCAGCTGGAGTGATAGGAGCAGTAGGAGGAACAGCAGTAGTAGGAGGAGCAGCAGCAGTACTAGGAGGAGCAGTAGCAGGAGCAGCAGCACTTGGTGTGATTGCAGCATTAGTTGCTGTTGCGGGAGCAGTGAAAGGAGGTGTTGCAGGGTATCATGCAGCTGAGGGAGCAGACTCACCACGGGAAGCAGTACAGAGAGCAACAAAGGCTGCCAGGGATCAAGCAGTGTCTGTCTTTGAAAGACTCTGTTCCAAAGATGAAACAGAGTATGAACCTTTAATAAGCGATGAATCGAAGAAGGGAAATTAAATGTGTCACTTAAAAGTCACATCTGCCTGTAATTGCATGAACATCTTCTTCTAAATTCCCCTTTAATTATTGAGTTGATATTCATAAGTAACATGTAATAGGTTTTACTTGTGTGTGCTTCGAGCTTAAGTAGCTTATTTCTGTTCACAGAATGATTATACTCACATTAAATTCAGATTCAATATTGTTTGTACAGACATGCCTGATCCTTACCTGTTTATATTGTATTATCCATAGTGAGAAACTGTTTTGGCATATTGTATTATGCAACTTTGATACTTTGTATTGCAGCTATCACATAATTTTCCCTTGTGATACAAAAAGAGTTGTATCTTACATTATTATAACCACTGAGTGCCGGTTTGAGGAGTTGTGTACTGTCAATTATATTTAATACTGTATATTATATACAAACCACATAAATGCCTTTTTTTAAACATTGTTCATAAATAGGAAACACGTAAATGCAATTTAATGTGAAATAATGTTTTCAATGTTATAATCAAACAAGTGTAGGCCTATACTGTTGTTGCTGTATTTGTGTTTCCTGTTGAAACATTGCTTACTGTTTCCTGTTGCAAGAAAGGACCAGAAGAGGTCTCTTAATGTAAGCACAGCATGATTTTGTTGGACAGTACATGTGGCCATTTATGAACAATAATATAATCAAACTATTACAAAATAAATGAACAATGAATAAATGGAAAGCTATACAATAATTTTTTTTGCAAAGACAGTTTTTTCTTGGGAAAGTAAAATGCCCTCCCCACACAACACACACAATTACACACAGTACGTGAACTGTATTTGTATAGCACCTTTCATGCACAAAGCAGCCCAAAGTGCTTTACAGAAAACATAACAACAATATTAAAATAATATTAAAATGAATGCAGAACAAGATAAAACATCTACAGTGATAATATGTTGAAATAAAACAATTTAAAAAGAAAATTACAAATGTAAAATAAAAGCAAAACAGAAAAGAATACAGTAAAACATGGACAATGATACTAGTGAGGATTACAAGTTGATCCAAATTAAAAGCCATATTAAAAAGATAGGTTTTTAATGTACTGTTAAACATTTGAAGGAGTTTGCTGATAACAAATTATATTAAATCTTTATCTGATGTGACTAATGCTGATAGTTTTGTCATGTGATATAAAATAATAATAAAGTAAAAAACTAAATTAAAGTTTCCCCTTTTGTTTTCTGAAGAAAGGGTGAGAGAAAACGACCACAACTCTACAAACACCATTTAAAAGCTGCAGTAGCATCACCTGCCCACCAGAGAGCGGCATATTCTAATGATTTGGGTAAAAACATTTGGTGGTAAAGATTATTCCATCTACAATTAAAAATGGAAGTCAAGGAACAAATAACAGAATGCCATTTTATGATTTCACATGACCCAAAGGTCTGTCATTGAAATGTTAGCTTATACACTGATGAAAAAAAATACTTAATTACATTTATGTAATGAGTGTGACTTATCGTTGCAGCTCCACTTCATACAACTATTACACATGGATGCTTAAGGGTTTTTGTAACGTCTTAATGAATAACTCAAAACTAAAATCCAAACTATCCACAGCATGTTCCCTTCGTGTACAAATAGCCACTTATTATGGCCCACATCTGAATGCAAGCAGAGAAATGTGGTTTGATCAGATGAAAGCACACATGAAGCCTCGCCCAGATTTGTGTTAACTCATAGCAACAAGCTACTGACAACATGTTTATCTTATTTAAATACATAATTCACCGCGTCACCAGATCCATGCCCTGTTGGGAACAAAATTCATTTTTTGTCTATCTCGAGGTCTGAGTAGTGTTATACTTTTACATCAGAATGCGTCGGGGCTACTGAAGAAGCTGCCAAGTTTAAACACGGTTGCAAGTAAAAAATAATAAAACGCGTCATATGATTCAGGAAGGTGATTGGAACATGTTGATGCACTCGGCAGTCTTGTCCCTCGGACTAGCAGTAGCTCCACAGTTGCTTTGGTTTTGACAACATGGATGGTAAGTTATATTCTTTGAGTTTTTTCGGTCAACACAGCTCTGGCAAGATACATATATTTAACTGTTTTGTATTTAAATAATTTGTGTGCAGACTCCACGCTTAAATGGCTTTAATTTTGTTCTTTAAATGTTCTCACATTGCTGTGATTGGTACTTTTAAAATATTTTATAAGATTTTCTCCATGCTGTTGGGCCGCTTCTATGTATCACACTTTGTTATTATTATTATTATTATTATTATTATTATTATTATTATTATTATTATTATTATTATTATTATTATTATTATTATTATTATTATTATTATTATTATTGTTTAAACATTTAAACAAGTTCCTTGACAGTGGTACAGATACTCATTCTCTGTTTACACACAAAAAAAAAGTTTCATGATACGTAATTGTGTCTGGTTATTTGAAAGCAATGATTAGAGTTAATATTATTGCTTGTCACTAACCTATTATATAATTTTTTTAAATCTGTTGACTTAATACATTTAATTAAATCTACATTTCAATTATTTCAGTGTGCCGTACTAACAGCTCTAGCTTTTTATCGTGATTTTTTGAGTAATTAAGACCTTTTTGTATATTAAGCACATGAGCATCTTACATAAAAAAAAAAGTAGGACCCAAGAGTTTTATTGATGGAAATTATTCTCTTTTAGAGTCAAATTGGAGAATTGTTATATTGGAGAGAAACTGTTCACAACTAATACCGCCAACTCTGAAACAAGTAAATGTCAAGCAGAAACCAAAACCATCAGTGGAAGAAGCATCACTCTGATCGACACTCCTGGTTTCTTCAACACAGATAAATCAGAGGAGGAGCTGAAGCCTGAGATAATAAGGTGTATCATAGAGTGCACTCCTGGGCCCCATGCTTTTCTCATTGTGCTCGAAGTAGATCGATTCACAGAGCAAGAACAGGCTGTCATCACAAAAATAAACCAATACTTTTCTGAAGAAATCTTCAAATACGCAACTGTTCTCTTCACTCATGGTGACCAGCTCGATGAAGGACAGACAGTTAAGGATTTAGTCCAGCAGAATCAGCTTGCGAGTGATCTGTTGAAGAAGTGCGGAGGCCGCTGCCATGTCATCGATAATAAATACTGGAAGAACAAACAGCAGGATGAATACAGGAGCAACCAGGTCCAGGTGAAGGAGCTACTGAAGACAATAGATAAGATAATAGAATCAAACGAAGGAAGCAGTGACTCTGCTGCCTGTATTTAAACAGATTCACCAGTTTGTAACATTACTTTAGCCCTGATCAGAGCCCTGTTTTCTGGGTAAGACAGCGAGGTGCTGTACCCTGGTCTCTGGGTCTATGGGTCTCTGAGACCCTGCTAACAGCAGTGACTCTGCTGCTTGCATTTAAACAGATTCACCAGTTTATAACATTACTTTAGCCCTGATCAGAGCCCTGTTTTCTGGGTAAGACAGCGAGGTGCTGTACCCTGGGTCTCTGGGTCTATGGGTCTCTGAGACCCTGCTAACAGCAGTGATTCTGCTGTTTTTAGCTCATTGTACATTTAACAAATTAAATATGATTAATATGTACATTATCCCATCTATACTGACACGTTTATGTCCATAACTCTGTATGTTTATTGAGTCCAATATACACCGTCTAAAAACGACAATTATGACTGAATTAAAACAGTTTGACAGCATTTTAACACTCATGTAGCCATGTTTGCAGCCCTGTTCCCTGGGTAACATTTGAATTACCCTCTCCTGTTGAATTAAAACATTTCCCACGACTTTAAACACTAATATACCCATGATTCAGACACTTATTCCTGGGTAAATGTGTTATCTTTTCACCCTGGTCCTGAATTAAAACAGTTCCCCCGACTTTAAACACTAATGTACCCATATTTTGCCCACTTATTCCTGGGTTAATATGTCATCTTTTTCCCCTGGGTGTGTGTGGCACTATCTGGTGGAACATTTGTGAATTACACTAAAATCCAAAACTTCGTTCGTGAGGTTTTTTTTTGTCAATATGAGATGCACTGTTTCCATGTCCCATGTACATGTCTGTACCAGTGACGTGCAGTGAGGTTCATGGCTGGTGAGGCACTGACCTACTGAGTCAGATTTACAAATATTATATTTTGACCTTAATCGAAATATTCGGTTATTTTCAAAAGCTTTTTTAGTCTGATGCTTCGATTCATTTTAAACAGACCGTTCAACAAAAGGATACCCAAAATCTAAATATTGGATTGTTCGTTCTTAGTAAGATCCCATTTTCATTAGAAATGTCGTCTTACCTTGACTTGAAGATGAAGTCCATGCTATCCTTCTGGACAACAATCTCTATTACTGTTTTGTAAAAGTCCTCCTTATCTTCCTCTAGTTTCAAAAGTCTAGTTTGTTGTTTGCGTCTACTGTCTCTGTGTAGAATAACAGTAGCAACAAGAACCTGTGGGCTCACGTGCGCCCCCTTCAGTGCGGCAGAGGTTATGGCTGCCTCCCCTGGTGCTTTTTTCATTGCCGTTGTATGATGAGACCAGCGAGCCTAGATATCATATATACGTGAAATAAGTTATTTAGAGACTATGGATGGCGAGGATAAATGTAATAAAGTAAACATTACATTGGTGACATACAGTGAGAGGGTAACAGGCATGTGCTTAGGGCCCGCTTTCCAGACAGTTTCTGTGGGGTGACGCATTCTGAGATGAGGCAGAGCTCATCTGTGCCTCACCTCGCCCCCGTTCTTATTATACATCCATGCCTTTATATATACAGTCTATGATCCATGCTCGCCCCACAGTAAATGGCTTGAGCGCGCTCACAATATAAGTGCCCGCGCTAAATTAGTGCCCGTGCTCCAGCAAGTTACTGTGGGCTTACGAGAGGCAGAGATCATCCCTGCCTCACTTCTCATCGCTCCCGTAGCGGAGCTCGGCAAATTTGCTGATTTTTACTATAAAAAGCGATTAGAATCATACATAAATCACACTTACAACACAGATCAGTGGAGACATTTTATTATTATTACTATTTAGTTTTTCTTTAGTTGTTTTTCCGTTACATTGGAGTATGACAGGGGAGGCTCTGCCTCGCTGGTCTGTACATATGGCCTCACGCACTACTAACACAGAGTAAGAACATGTTTTTATGAACCACACAGCTTCCGGTCTTCCAAGACCCGACCGGACAAAAAGACGTGTTGCAGGCACGAAACATACTACCAATAGAAATACATTGCTTTTAAAATCGTTCTGTGTGACAAGGCTATGGAGATACTATCCCGACTTTTTCTTTTTTTCTCTCTCTTTTTTTTTTTCATGTCCCAAAGTTTAGGGGCTCCGTACATATTCAATCACTTGCATATAGACTCTTATTGCACTATTCCACTATTTCACTTTTTTACAATTTTTCTTTTTGTATTTACTTTTTCTGTTTTATTGTGTTACACTGTTGGAGGAGCATGTGACCTAATAAGCTTTTCACCTTCATACCTACACTGTAGCTATGCACGTATGACCAATAAAAGCCTTGAACCTTGAACCTTGAACATCCTGTTGAAAACTGCTGATATGAATCAGGAAGGTTATTGAAGTTCTCTCGTGCGGACAAGATACTAACCCGTTATCCCGACTTATTTTTTACCTCTCTCTTTTTTTTTAAATGTTTTCATGTCCCAAAGTTCATCTGTTTTGTTTTATATGTGTTTTAGAGTGGGAAACCTTGATTCTCTTATTATGATAATGCTCCATACCAACATCTTTCACATTTTATCGTAATGATTGAGCAGCTAGGATTTTTGTTTTCATTGTATAGGAAAATAAAATTAAGACAATTATAATGTATTATTAATGGAAGTAATTATTTTTCAGAGTCAAACAAGCGAATTGTTATATTGGGGAAAACTGGAGTTGGGAAATGCAGCGTGGCTAACACAATATTTGGAGAAGAACTCTTCAAAACAATCAGTTCTGCCAAATCAGGAACAAGTACATGCCAAGCAGAAACCAGATCTGTCAGTGGAGGAAGCATCACTCTGATCGACACTCCTGGTTTCTTCGACACAGATAAATCAGAGAAGGAGCTGTAGCCTGAGATAATAACATGTATCACAGAGTGCGCTCCTGGGCCCCATGTTTTTCTCATTGTGCTTGAAGTGAAGAAATTCACAAAGCACCAACGGGAAGTGATCAAAGCTGAAGAAGTCTTCAAATACGCAACAGTTCTCTTCACTTATGGTGATCAACTTGATGAAGGCCAAAGTTTCCTCCCTTTCGGAGGCTTGGTAACAGTGTTACAAGGATTTTTAAAAGGAATACAAAACAACCAGATTCCACCAATCTCTGCATCCCAAACATGGCTTACAACCACCTCTAAAAATGTTTTGGTGTCTAGTTTTATTGCCGAGCTGTAAATCTGCCTCTGTCCCAAGCATGCAATTTTCTCTTTTTCTGTTTTAAAACAATTTATTGTTGTTTTTTTATGACATCAATTTAAAAAATGATGCTGTTTAAGTAGGAGTAGATATTACATTTTTTACATGAGTCTGATATAATTATAAATATAAAAAGATAATTTGTATGTGTGATATCTTCCTCTTAAAGGATGTTATAATCAAGGCCTGCAACAAGGATCATATGCAACACTCACTCTATTGTTCAGGTACGGCAGATGTCGATAAACTGGTATAGAAGGAAAGTAGAGTCAAACCACAGCGAGAGAACCGAAGACAGAACATCCAGCAGTCGGCTGACTACAGTCATTCCTTTTTATGCAAAATGGACGGTAAGTGTTAAGAGTTATTGTGATTATTTACTGTGAGTTGTAAAGGCTGCAACACTAGATGTTAAAAATACTTTATCACAATTGTAGAAGTAAGTATTATCATTATTATTGGTGATAAGTGGATACCTAAGTATGTATAATAATGTAGGGCGGATTCATCTTTTTAAAACGTGTTGCTATGTGTTGTGATTGTATCCTATGTTTTGTGAAGTAACTATGTGGTAGAGTATAAAGTAGAATATTAACATATATTCCTCTGCAATGTAGTAGTGTAGAAGGATGAAGTGTGAAACGAAAATGCTCAACTCAAGTTCAAATGTGTGCTTCAGTGCAGTACTTGAGTAAATGGACTTTGTTAATTGGATCAGTATCCAATCTGATTAGTTCTCAGAAAGAAAAGCTAAATAATAGTTACAAAAAATATGTATTCATTGTCATTTATTCATCATACATACAGAAACAGAAAACTATTCTGCAGTGACTACTATGTGGTTTAATCAGTCTAAAAAGCAAACAGTCATCCACAAAGCAAATCTTTTTAAAGTACATTTGACTTTATCTCTACTCTGACTAGAACGTAGGTAACCTGATCTGATCTGTGCCATGATGGGAAGTTTGGTCTGTAATTCCTTTCTTGTCTGTGGACACATCTGAGGTGGAATAAAGTTATCTAGATTTACATTAGAATTAGGAGGGATTAGCTCATCATCAGTTTATTCTAAGGATTTGGGTAAAAACATTTGGTGGGTTTGTATGTCAGTAAAGAAGACTACATCTACAGTTAACAATTGAAGTCAAGGAACAAATAACAGAATGCCATTTTATGAAAATCAAAACTATCCACAGCAAGTTCCCTTCGTGTACAGACAGCATTTTATCATGGCCCACATCTGAATGCTAACAGAGAAATGTGGTTTGATCTGATAAAAGCACATATGAAGCCTCGCCCAGAGTTGGGTTAACTCATAGCAACAAGCTGCAACTAGCAGTCGCTCCACTTTTGATTTGCTTTTGACAACATGGACGGTAAGTTAAATTATTTTAGGTTATATGGATTTTTATGCGATTTAGCTCATTTTTTTCTAACAAAACCAACTAAAAGACAAGTATAGAGTATTATTAATGGAAATGATTCTCTTTCAGAGTCAGACAGAAGAATTGTTATCTTGGGGAAAACTGGAGTTGGGAAAAGCAGCGTGGCTAACACCATATTTGGAGAAGAACTCTTCAAAGCAATCAGTTCTGCCAAATCAGGAACAAGTACATGTCAAGCAGAAACCAGACCTGTCAATGGAAGAAGCATCACTCTGATCGACACTCCTGGTTTCTTCAACACAGATATATCAGAGGAGGAGCTGAAGACTGAGATATTAAGTAGTGATGTGTCGGTCGCGAACGAGCCGATTCTTTTGAACGGCTCTTTGGTACGAACGAGGGGAACCGAGTCGTACTTGGTGAGAGCCGTTCTTCTTATCGTTCAATCAAAGTTGGTCCGCACTCACTGCCTGCCAAAATTCACTCGCCTTTTAAAAAGCTTGATTTTGTTCCCCAAACGTATTCTGTGAAGACCCGCCCCTACTCTGATTTGTAGGTTTCAGCACGAGGAGTTAGGTGGGGTGGGTCTTAACGGAATACGCGAGAGAGAGAAGTCATAACAAGTGGTACTGGACAGATAGACGACGTGTTTTTCGGATGTAAAATGAGCCAAACGCGAAAACGCAGCAGCATTTGGATGCACTTCAACCAAAACCCAGGCAGTGATAAAGCGCACCATTTGTAAAGGCAAAATATCCTTTAAAGCAGGGTCAACAAATAATCTCCATCGCCACTTAAAAACACACTACTAATATTAAGAGTTGCGTGAATTTCATTCAAGGCAAGGCAACTTTATTTACTTAACACATGCAGAGGGTAAATTCAAAGTACATTCACTGACATGAATGACATGGATATGGCGCCACCTTGTGTCATGTTTACAATGCAGATTATTGACATTAGGTCTGGCAATGCAGTCAATCATTATCCTGGTGATTATTTCGCAGATAAACCTAGTAACCCCGCCCCCTTTTTAAAAAAAACGGCTCTTTTGAACGGCTCTTTTGAACGGCTCTTTGAAAGGAACGGAGCCATAAGATCCGGCTCCCTTCAAAGAGCCATAATTCCCATCACTAATATTAAGGTGTATGATAGAGTGCGCTCCTGGGCCCCATGCTTTTCTCATTGTGTTTGAAGTGGGTCTATTCGCAGAGCACGAACAGGCCGTCATCACAAAAATAAGCAAAGACTTTTCTGAAGAAGTCTTCAAATACGCAACAGTTCTCTTCACTCATGGTGACCAGCTCGATGAAGGACAGACAATTGAGGGGTTTTGCAATGAGAATAAGTTTGCAAGTGATCTGTTGAAGAAGTGCGGCGGCCGCTGCCACGTCATCGATAATAAATACTGGAAGAAGAACCAGCAGGATGAATACAGGAACAACCAGGTCCAGGTGAAGGAGCTACTCAAGACAATAGATAAGATGGTAAAGGCAAATAAAGGAAGCTGCTACACCAATGAGATGCTACAAGCAGTGGAGGAAGAAATACAAAAAAAGGAGAAGCTGATTAGACAGTCATCAGGAAACATGTCTCAGGAAGAAGTCAGAAAGCAAGCTAAAGAGGGAGTATTTAAAAGGCTTAAGATCAAACTGGCAGGCATTGCAACAGGTGTATTGTTAGGAGCTCTTTTTGGTGGAGTAACGATGGTTGGAGAAGTTCTCTTAGTGTTGAAGAAAAGGTTGTCAGTAGAAGAAGCAGTAGGAGTAACAGCAGCAGCAGCAGTAGCAGTAGCAGCAGGAAGAGTAGCAGCAGGAAGAGCAGCAGCAGCAGCAGGAGGAGTAGGAGCAGTGTATGCAGTGTATGTTGCAGCGGGAGCAGTGAAAGGAGGTGTTGCAGGGTATCAAGAAGCGGAGGGAGCAGACTCACCACGGGAAGCAGCACAGAGAGCAGCAAAGGCTGTCATGGATCAAGCACTGTCTCCCTGGGAAGAGCTCTTGTTGAACAATGAAAACCCTCACTCAAAGAAAGGGAATTGAATATCATTGAAAAGTCACATCTCTGTGTAGATTGTAGTGATGAGAATTATGGCTCTTTGAAGGGAGCCGGATCTTATGGCTCCGTTCCTTTCAAAGAGCCGTTCAAAAGAGCCGTTCAAAAGAGCCGTTTTTTTAAAAAGGGGGCGGGGTTACTAGGTTTATCTGCGAAATAATCACCAGGATAATGATTGACTGCATTGCCAGACCTAATGTCAATAATCTGCATTGTAAACATGACACAAGGTGGCGCCATATCCATGTCATTCATGTCAGTGAATGTACTTTCAATGTACCCTCTGCATGTGTTAAGTAAATAAAGTTGCCTTGCCTTGAATGAAATTCACGCAACTCTTAATATTAGTAGTGTGTTTTTAAGTGGCGATGGAGATTATTTGTTGACCCTGCTTTAAAGGATATTTTGCCTTTACAAATGGTGCGCTTTATCACTGCCTGGGTTTTGGTTGAAGTGCATCCAAATGCTGCTGCGTTTTCGCGTTTGGCTCATTTTCCATCCGAAAAACACGTCGTCTATCTGTCCAGTACCACTTGTTATGACTTCTCTCTCGCGTATTCCGTTAAGACCCACCCCACCTAACTCCTCGTGCTGAAACCTACCAATCAGAGTAGGGGCGGGTCTTCACAGAATACGTTTGGGGAACAAAATCAAGCTTTTTAAAAGGCGAGTGAATTTTGGCAGGCAGTGAGTGCGGACCAACTTTGATTGAACGATAAGAAGAACGGCTCTCACCAAGTACGACTCGGTTCCCCTCGTTCGTACCAAAGAGCCGTTCAAAAGAATCGGCTCGTTCGCGACCGACACATCACTAGTAGATTGCATGAACATAGTATTTTAATGATCTTTAATCAGTGAGCTGATAATCTTTATTCATAAGTAATATGCTATATGTTGGCTTTGTTATCTGAAGTTCAAGCTTGATTCGCTCATTCCCTTTTCACGGGATAATTATCTCTTATGAAATAACTTTACTCACATTAACTTGAGATATTGGACATACACTTCCAACTATTCCATGTGTATATTGTATTAACCATGGAGGAAAACAGTTTTTGCATTTTTTGCATTTTGCACCTCTCCTACTTTGTATTGCAGCTATTGCTAAGCATTTTCCTTTTGCAAAACATAGCCCGGAGAGGATACTTAATCTATGAACAGCATCATTTTTCTGGATAACAGTTGTGGCTCTCTGTGGATTATAATGTATCACCATGAAAAAAATTAAGAATGAATAAATGGAAGGCTATGAAAACATGTTCAGCAAATAAAGTTTTTATTTCCCCCCACCACACACACGCACAAAAAAAAAGTGAAACTAGAATGAAACATTGCTTACTGTTTCCTGTTGCAAGAGAAGACCAGAAGAGGTCACTTAATGTATGCACAGGATGATTTTGTTGGACAGTACATGTGGTTATTTATGGACAATAATATGATGAAACTATTACAAATGAAATGTACAATGAATAAATGGAAAGCTTTTTTTTTTAGCAAAGACAGTTTTTTCTTGGTAAAGTAAAATGCCCTCCCCACACAACACACACAATCACACACAGTAAAGAAGACTATCTACAGTTTAAAAATTGAAGTCAAGGAACAAATAACTGAAAGCCATTTTATGATTTCACATGACCCAAAGGTCTGTCATTGAAATACTCGGCTGAAAAAAAATTACTTAATTACATTTGGATATTTCTTTACTGGGTTTTGACTAAACAGTGAATTATATTTGCAGCTCCACTTCATACAACTATTACACATGGTTGCTTAATTGTTTTTGTTACGTGTTAATTAATAACTCATATCCAAACTATCCACAGCATGTTCCCTTCGTGTACAAATAGCTGATTATTATGGCCCACATCTGAATACTATCAGAGAAATGTGGTTTGATAAGATTATAGCACACATGAAGCCTCGCCCAAATTTGTGTTAACTCATAGCAACAAGCTGCTGAGAACTTTTTTTTATCTTATTTAAATACATAATTCACCTTGTCACCAGATCTGTGCCCCGTTGGGAACACCTCAGTTTTTGTCCCTCTGACTAGCAGTCGCTCCACAGTCATCAGGAAACATGTCAAAGGAAAAAGTCAGAGAGCAAGCTAAAGACAGAGTATTTAAAAGGCTTAATATCAAACTGGCAGGCATTGCAACAGGTGTAATTGTTAGGAGCTCTTTTTGGCGGAGTAACGTTGGTTGGAGAAGTTCTCTTAGTTTTAAAGAAAAATCTGTCAGATCCGGGACAACTTCAATCTTTTGCCAACACAGCAGTAAAAGCAGCTGGAGTGATAGGAGCAGCAGGAGCAGCAGGAGGAGTAGCAATAGGTGCAGTGGTAGCAGCAGGTGCTGTTAGAGAAGTGAAAGGAGGTGTTGCAGGGTATCAAGCAGCTGAGGGAGCCGTCACAGCACAGGAAGCAGCACAGAGAGCAACAAAGGCTGCCAGGGATCAAGCAGTGTCTGCCTTTGAAGGACTCTGATCCAAAGATGAAACAGAGTCTAAACCTTTAATAAGTGATGAATCGAAGAAGGGAAATTAAATGTGTCACTTAAAAGTCACATCTGCATTTAATTGCATGAAAATCTTCTTCTAAATTCCCCTTTAATTATTGAGCTGATAATGTTTATTCATAAGTAACATGTAACAGGTTTTACTTCTGTGTGCTTCGAGCTTAAGTAGCTTATTTCTGTTCACAGAATTATTGAACTATACTCACATTAAATTCAGATTGGAGGTAGTTTGTACAGACATGCCTGATCCTTACCTGTTCATATTTTATTATCCATAGTGAGAAACTGTTTTGCCATATTGTATTATGCAACTTTGATACTTGTGATAAAAATAGAGTTGTATTTTACATTATCGTAACCACTGAGTGTCGGTTTGAGGAGTTGTGGAGTGTAAATACTGTCAATTATATATAATACTGTATATTATATACAAACCACATATATGCATTTTTTTAAACGTTGTTTATAAATAGGAAACAGGTAAATGGAATTTAATGTAAAATAATGTTTTCGAGTGTAGGCCTATACTGTTGTTGCTGTATTTGTGTTTCCTGTTGAAACATTGCTTACTGTTTCCTGTTGCAAGAGAGTACCAGAAGAGGTCACTTAATGTATGCACAGCATGATTTTGTTGGACAGTACATGTGGCCATTTATGAACAATAATATAATCAAACTATTAAAAAATAAATGAACAATGAGTAAATGGAAAGCTATAAAAAAAGACAGTTTTTTCTTGGTAAAGTAAAATGCCCTCCCCACACAACACACACAATCACACACAGTACGTGAAAGTGAAAACAGAAAAAAAGTGGAATTTTAGTTCATATTATTTGTGAACCCTGCTCACGAATAACAAATTATATTACATCTTTATCTGAGGAGACTGATGCTGATAGTTTTGTCATGTGATATAAAATAATAATAAAGTAAATCTAAATTAAAGTTTCCCCTTTAGTTTTCTGAAGAAAGGGTGAGAGAAAACCACCACAACTCCATAAACACCATTTAAAAGCTGCAGTAGCATCACCTGCCCACCAGAGAGCAGCCTATTCTAATTATTTGGGTAAAAACATTCGGTGGGGTTTGTATGTGAGTAAAGAAGATTACATCTACAGTTAAAAATTGACAGAACAGAATGCCATTTTATGATTTCACTTGACCCAAAGATCTGTCATTGAAATGTTATTTAATACTCTAATACTCAGCTCCACTTCATACAACTATTATACATGGTTGCTTAATGTGACACCCTCACATCACCCTCACATCAAAGGGATTTAGGGGTGGGACTAAGGTTTTATGGGGGTCATAAATCAATAACTCAACATGTCAAAAATACCAAAGTGACATAACATAAGCCCTTGTCTTACTTAAATTCCCATTTAATTATTGAGCTGATAATGTTTATTCATAAGTAACATGTACAACTTGTGTGTGCTTCGAGGTTAAAGGTCCCATGTCATGCTTTTCCGGTTATTACCCGTCCCCTTGTGTGTTATGAAGGTTTGTCTGCATGTAAACGGTCTGCAGAGTCACAAACCCTCAAAGTACACCCTGTAGCGAGTAAAACCGTAACACAGAAAATACCTTTCTATGCTGCCCCAAAACGCCTCGTTCGGAAATGAAATGTGTCACTTAAGTCACATCTGCCTGTAATTGCATGAAAATCTTCTTCTATATTCCCCTTTAATTATTGAGCTGATAATGTTTATTCACAAGTACCATGTCATAGGTTTTACTTGTGTGTGCTTAAAGCTTAAGTAGCTTATTTATTTTTCACAGAATGATTTAATTATACTCACATTAAATTCAGATTGGAGATTGTTTGTACATGTCTGATCCTTACCTGTTTATATTTTATTATCCATTTTGGGAAACTGTTTTGCCATATCGTATTATACAACTTTGATACTTGGTAATATCTCCCCTTGATATATAAAAAAACATTTGTTTTATTGTCTTATTCTTATTATATATTATCTTAACCACTGAGTGTCTGTTAGAGGAGTTGTGTAGTGCAAATACTGTCAATTATTAAAGCCACAAACCACATATGTGAACTTGTTTTTAACATATGTGTACACTGTTGCTGAATCTTTGAAACATTGCACCCTGTTTCCTGTCCAAAAAAGGACCAGAAGAGGTCACTAATGTATGCACGGCTTTATTTTGTTTAAAAAAGTTGCGGCTCTTTGTGGATAACAATGTATCACCATAAACAATGAAAGTAAATGTCACTTGAGCAAATCATTCAAACTTGGTAAACGAGATCACCCCCTGCACACACACACACATATTATATTATAATTACTATCTTTGATAAATTACACTTATACTGTATATCTGCACCAGACAGCTGCTATGGACAGTCACGTGCACTACTGTACATATTTTGACTGTTGTAATATATTCATCCTCATTCGTTTAGAAGTCACTGTTATTTTGTATATAGCGACTGGTGTGCTTTTTATTGATGCCTCCTAATGTGTGCATATGTAGAGATGTGTTTATGTTTGATTATGTATAAATGAATAAAAGTGGGTGTACATGTCTGTATCTATGTATACATATATATTTATGTTATTCCTCTGGATTGTGAGAAACAGTATTTCGATTTCCCTGTCTGTATCATGCAAACAGAAGTTTGACAATCGAGTTGACATTGACTTATGAGAAAAATGTGTTTAGTCAAATGCTAAGTTTTCCTTTTTCAGCAAGGGTGGGCGAGAGAAAGGGACAAAACAGAAAGGGACACTAAAGTCAATGAAAATACCAAGTTGTGAGACAGCATTGCAGTTCATACAGCAACCTCTAGATGTCAATAAGGATCAGGATTCATTAGAAAATATTTAACAAACTGACAAGTTTAAATTCCGATATGGATGTAAATACAGCTGCAGGATGTCTACCAATGTCTTATCAATGTTTTATTTTAAATCCTTCTCACTACTTCCTGGAAGAAAGGAGTTGCATTTGCAGTGCTGAAAAGAACACAAACACTCTTTTAAACAAAATGGTCTAGAAATCCAAACTGAAGGCCCATGAATGTAAAAATGAAAAACAGTGGAGATGTGAAATGTTAAAAATAAGGAACATGCTTCTGTAGCTTGTTGACATGCAACAGAGCTGGTGCTTATTATAAATGTGGACACTTGAATTAAAATGTCCACTGTGTGATATGCTTATGCCAATAGTGTGTCGCCAAGAAACAAGTCAAACAGGTGTAAAACAAAGCGAAAGGCAGAAGAAACGATACGCAGTCACAGCAACCTCCAGATCGGTGTCTGCTGATCCAAGCATGAGTGGTAAGTTAAGATGACTTATTCCACAACTAATAATAATATTACAATGTTTTCACAAGTTTGGGTCCATTTTTGAACATTGAAACTTAAATGCCAGTTGTGTTTTGTTAGAAATTATGTTTGTTCTATCTTGCTCTATTCATTGATTTTGATACTCTTTTAAAAGGGTAATTTTATAAGGTTGACTATTACCTATGAAAGGAAATAAGTCATGATAAAGATCATGATTTTCTTTTTGTAAGTACCAGCATTTTAAATAATAAAAAATAGACTTTAGGCGAGTAGATTATTGACGAATAATACCCATTGATGGTGAATCCTGAATTATTTTTTTACATTATTTTGTGAAAACAATAAAAAACTATTCATATTATTTCAGTTTCAAAATGTATTATTATTTATAAATATTATTTTATCTTTCAAAAATCTGTATCCATTCAAACAGCTTGTTCACAAATTATACGCAAAAACCATCCACTACACAGACAGAGAGCCTATACAATTATTATATAATACTGTATTACATTTTATATATATGTATTTTAGACATATTTTATACATGCATATATTTGTCAAAATATGCAGATGTCAACCTACTCTAAACAAAGTTAAGTTAGCATGCTGATATTGTCATCACAGCTTTGCTATTTTTGAAATGCTTTGCTCACTCTACAGTATATCCCCTACAAAAGCAGTGAAAGATATCAGTGACATAGAGTCATTACTGTCTTCTAGATTTAACAAGAAGGATCGTGGTCTTGGGAAAAACTGGAGCTGGGAAGAGCAGCCTCGCCAACACCATCTTCGGAGAGAGTTTGTTCGAGATAGACGATTCAGCCAATTCAGGAACACGTGTATGTCAAGCAGAAACCAAACGTGTAAACGGGACACAACTCATGTGGGTTGACACTCCTGGGTTTTTCGACACAAGCAGACCTGAGGAGGAGCTGAAGTCTGAGATAGAGAAGTGTATCGAAAAGTGTGCTCCTGGGCCTCATGTTTTTCTCATTGTGCTTAAAGTGGAGAAATTCACAGAGCAAGAGAAGGACGTCATCAAAAAAATCCAACAATGTTTCTCTAAAGAAGCTTTAAAATATGCCATAGTTGTCTTCACACGTGGTGACCAGCTCCCTGAGGGAATGACGATCGAGCAGTGGGTCGATCTGGATCAAGATCTGAGGAATCTGCTGAAGAAGTGCGGGAGACGGTGCCACGTCATTGATAATATTAGATGGAAGAAAGACCAGACGGATGAATACAGGAGCAACAAGTTCCAGGTGGCTGAAATACTCAAGACAATAGACAGGATGGCTGATGCAAACACAAAAAGCTGTTACACCATTGAGATGCTACATGCTACAAATAGACCATTGGTTAATTGGGCTGTAGCGGTAGCTTGTCTTGCAGCTTTGGTGTCCATTGCTGTTATTTTTGATAAAAAATGAATATCATGACTAACTGCAGCATTAGGGCTGTGTGATGTCAAGAATCTGGCAATACGATACAGATCATGATACTGGCTTAAAACTCAACATATTGCAATATAGCAGGGTTATATATTGTTTTTTTTTATCTAATTTGAAAGAATTCCTTAAAATTAGATAAGGAATTAAAATGATTTCTACTCTTATATCATATATTTTGTAACTTGCAACTTGCTTTTTTTTTCCATCATCCATTTATCTGCCAAAAACAGTGAAAAATGTCAGTCATTATTTCTCAGAACAGTACAAGAAAACCTTGATAAACTAAAATGTGTCTTTACCGAGTATCAGAGACCGATGAGAGTAGTAATGAAATGCATTTTATATGACTTTAGTATATGTTTATTAGAGAGGCGTCTGACCTGAGAGTTGAAGTCTTACCATTAACATTTTAAAGCATTGTATTTTTAATATGTGACTCAAATATGAAGTATTTACAGTGCCAATCATTTGTTTGCTTCCCCTCCCTTTGTATTACGGTGAACGCGTTTGATTTACTGTATCTTTTAGTATTTACTATAAAAATACAATTATGAATTATCCGATTATCCCATCATGATCTGATGTGGGCTCTCCATGATTTCTTTGATTCTGTTTTCATTGTTTTCTTTTGTCATAACTTAATCAAAATACAACAATAAATTAGTAATTTAATAATGTGTTTTCAAGTGGATTTTTTTATTATACAATCTTAAAGAGGACTTATTATGCTCATTATCATGTTCATATTTGTATTTTGTGCCTCTTCTGTCACATGTCCCGCCCCTAAGACTATCACGTACAATGTGTTGGAGCGCTAGCCAATAGCTTACTTGTTACATAGTGATGTCACTATGTTCCAGAAGTAAAGAAAGGAGACCAATGGAGGCGTTTCAGGCAGGGGGAGAATGTGTGAGAGAGAAACTCCCTCTGGATTTTAGCCTTTGCAGACCATTTACATGCACTAAAACCTATATAGCATACTATAGGAAAGGGAAAACCCCGAAAAACATAATAGGGCCTCTTTAATTCATCCAATGAGCCAAAAGGACCTCATGATATTAGAAAGGCTGATATTCTGCAACAAACACTACTGGTTTGTACAGATTCACTGTTTGTTTCCTGCTTTATGTTACTATGGAAACAATCTGATTTTACATATGATGATTTGTCACAATACTGTGTCAGAGAAACAAAACGCTGCCACACCGGTACGAGTCAAATAATCAGCAACTCATATTTAAGCATATTTAATGAATTAATTTGTGTTATGTAACAATTTGTGGTTGATCATTGTTTTTTATTGATGCAGTATATTGATGCCTGTGCTTGAATGAAAGAAGTGAAATGTGAGTGGATCATTTTATCAGCCGGCAGCCGAGAAACAAGTCGGACAGGTAGACAAAAGAATGTAAGCAAGAGGTGAGTCCGAGTCAGAGAACAAACGAAAAGCTCACAGTGGAGACGTGTCCCGGATCACAGTCTTTTCTTTTGCTAATAATTCTTCCTTTGACAGCATGGACGGTGAGCTAAGCTTCATATTATATTTAAATATTGTATTCAAATTAAAATGATTGTATTTATTGTATATGAATTGTGCGCCTACTCAAATCTCAAAATCCTAATTCCTCCTTGAAAAACTATGTAGAAATGATTGGAGTTGTAATATATTTTTGTTTATTATTAAGGTTGTTTGAGGCTATTATGTCACTTTGATAAAATACACTCTGACAGTTGTCACATTAAGCCTTTTTTTATCTACATTAATCCCACCAGGGCATTGTGGACTAACATGTCATGTGAAAATGTTTTATCTTTCAGTATCATTTAAAAAAAAAAATGTGACAGGTGTGACAGTATCCATTAGTTAATTATCTTTTGCTGCCCCCAAAGTAGCTCCTCAAACACATCTGTGACTGCACCTGTTTTCATTCAAATCACAAACCAAAACTCACCTGTCATTAATATTGTGTTTTATATTTGATTTGGGTTGTTTTTTGTATGCATCTGTAAATTCTCTTTGAATATCTTTAAGTATTATTATTATTGGTTTATATTATTACTATTATTCTCAGAACCTGTCAGGTCTCTTACAGTCTCCAAAATATATTATATTGGTAAACATGCAATTTTGATGTGTGAATTTGTATTTATTTTTTAAGATATTTGTTTTGCCAGAGTGCTATAATTAGATATAGAGTTAAAGGGTGAGATAGAGGGGATGAAATTGCGTGAAATGTTCAAATTAATTGATTAACTGAGTCACTTTTTCCATTGTAGTGCCAAATACAACAAGGATTGTGCTGCTCGGAAAAACTGGAGTCAGAAAGAGCAGCCTTGCTAACATCATTTTGGGAGAGGCCAAATTCAAAATTGACCATTGTAATGACTCAAAAATGAAATCTTCTTCAGCAGAAACCAAATCCATCGATGAACGAAGCATCACTTTGATCGACCCTCCTGGTTTCTTCGATGCAGGAAGGTCTGAGGAGGAGATGAAGCCGGAGATGGTGCGGTGTCTCACAGAGTGCGCGCCTGGGCCCCATGCTATTCTCATTCTGCTCAAAGTGGAGAAATTCACAGAGCAGGAAAGGGCTGTGATCACTCAAATGTTTGAGTATTTCTCTGGAGACGCGTTCAAACACACCGTAATTGTCTTCACTCATGGCGACCAGCTCCCCGAAGGAAAGAAAATAGAGGAGTACGTAGAGCAAAGTGAAGGTCTGAGTGATCTGGTGCACAAGTGCGGCGGCCGGTGCCACGTCTTTGACAGTCAATACTGGAAGACCAATGAGGGGGACGAGTACAGAAGTAACCAATTCCAGGTGGCAGAGCTACTCAACACTATAGATAGCATAGTGAAGGCAAACAGTTCAGGCTACTACACAGACGAAGCTATACAAGAGATAGAGAGAGGAATACAGAAAGAAGAAGGGAACATTAGACAAGCATCAGGAAACATGCCAGAGGTAGAGATCAGAAAAGAGGCTAAAAGCAACTACATAAAGAAGCAGGTGGACAACGCACCTCGAACATGGTTTAGAGGTTTTATTCAATACGCAGTTATAGCTGGAATACTTGCAACTATCTCAGCTGTGTTGATCAATTCAAAAATGTTTAAGATATGTAGGGTAGCACCACCGGATATCCTGGCACCACTGACAGATGTGAGAGTACACGATGGCACAGGTTCAGATTCTCTCCCTGTCAGTCCAGTGGTAGAGTTAACACAAAGTGCATTTGAGTATGTTGTGGACAAATGCAATGCTTTGTATGACAGTCTTTGGAATCCAATACAAAATTCATTTGAGGATTTTGTGGAGAAATGCAATGCTTTGTATGAAAGAACGTACAATCCTTGGAATCCATTTGAATGAACACCAAGGCAGAATCAAATGAAAATCAGCAGAAGAGATTGTCATTGATGTATAGTAGTCGCACCCAGCACATGCACATTTATTTCAATCATTTTTTTAAGCTATAAAATGTAGTAACTTAAAGGAGAGGTGTCATGGCCATTTCCACTGATCATAATTCCATTGTTGAGGTCTACTAAAATAGATTTATACTGTGCATTTTTCCAAACTCACATTGGTTTCTCATACAGCATCTCTGTAAACTACTTGTATTCACTGAATTTCACTCTCTGCCTTTAACGGCTCGTTGTAGCTCCAATAGCTCCAGCCCCCACCCTCCCTGTGAGCACAGTGTGCTCTGATTGGTCGGGACGTTGTGAATCGCGCTGAGCTCCGTGGAGGTGTTGCTTCCTTGTTTAGGATACATAGCGAAACACAGCCAAATTCATCCTGAGCACACACAAACTCACATCCGAAGTAAAAACAATAAATGTGGCTTGATATTGAGTAAGAAAAAGGTTGATAAACGCTGTGAGAATGGGTCTGCAGAGAGAATTTTGCCACGATCCCAACTGTCTGTTATCAGCCTGCAGCCAGGGAGGAGAAATCAGCTGAGCTGCCTGCTCCCTGCACACAGATGTGTGTGTGAGGAAGTCCGTGGATCGGTCAATTTGGACCAATCAGCGGGGGCTTAACGTAACGGTTCCGCGGACGTAACGTAACGGGATTGGTCCATTTCGTTCCGGGTACCGCTTGACATCATTATGTATTGTTTGAATATGGAACACTTTGTTTAAAATGTTTTATGTAACAATAAACGGCTGATTGGTAAATGATCTTTTTCAGTTTCTGTTTTTCATGAAACCATTCACAGGTGCTGTCAAAGGGTTGACGATACTCATACATTCTAATAATAAACCAAGTCCAAAGATGAATTGCAGATATTGTCTGAGCCATAGGGCTTCTTTGTTGTCGAAAACTATAAAAAAAAAACATTGGCTGACAGTTTTCTTTGTGTTGCTGAACATAGGCAGTATCATTTATTTGAGTCAATTACCATCCTGTTGCTATCAATAGTTACAAAAGCACCAAATAGCTATGACATATGCAAATAATCCCAAATGCATGCACTATTTACTCTCCTTTGTTGAATGTTTGATAGGAAATAGAGTGCCAAACTGCTATAACATACTGGGCCTTTTTTTTATGAGGCTATTTCATGTTGAACTTTTTTTCTGAATATTTAATTTGGCTAAAGGAGCTCGTGGCTAACTAAAACAATTTTTGCATCAGCGTCTTTATTTTAATCAGAATTTTTCCAGGACCTAAAAAGTAGCAACTGTAATTCTAACATGATGAAAACAAACGTAAATCTGTTATACAATAACAATAAATACTTTTTGTTTATCGAAGCCAAATACAAAAGGCCTTTTTGTTTTCAGTCTGCGTAGATGTATTGTTGATTCCCAGAAGTCGGATGGATGCTGCCAATAAAAACAGATAGATAAGATTACATTCAACCTGTTGAGTTTCACTAAGACAAAAACACTCCACCTTTAAAAGATATGAAAAGGTGCAGCTGCCATCCTCCCTTTTCTCAATAAATATAAAGACTACATATTCTGTATGTGATGTTGATTTTAATCCTTTCGTGGTGGGAGATTAGCGGCTTTGAAAGCAATGCATGTAGTTTGTGAGGGACCCATTTCCTGTTTATTGCAATGAACTGATGCCTATAGTTTTCACGGCACATCAATTATGTAAGTACATCTCAGTCAAAATCTGCAAATGTAGGATGAGTGGAGTACCGTACTGTTGGTCAATTATTGTATTCCCATGTTCATACAAACAAGGCTTACCAATACCTATTTGCCTGTTGCCATTAATAAACCTTTCAAAATTAAATTCTTTATATTCTGTTCTTTCCAAACCACATGCAGTCACCACCCTAAAAAGTAGACCTGCTGATCTGGAAACTGTCATTCAAGCATTTATTTCCTTCTTCTATTGCTGTAATGCCCTGTTAATTAAAAAGGCCTCCCTTTCTGAGGCTTGGTAACAGTGTTACAAGGATTTTAAGTAACGAAAACAACCAGATTTCACCAATCTTTGCATCCCAACCCTGGCTTACAATTGCCTTGTTATCAATTTAGAAAATGATGTTTTACAAAAAGTACATTTGTGTTTTTACTTAACTGATATGTGTTGGGGAAATATTTTCCAAGGCCCATAACGTTGACCCAGTTTATCAAATCAAATCATATCAAATTCAAGTTTTATTTATATAACACATTTATAAACGATTTTTGGCCGAGCAAAAGTGCTGTACAAATAATAAAAAAATACCCTACAGTAAAGACATTTTACAGCTAATACAACAGCACAGTTTGTTCAGAATACCAGTATGAGAAAAAAACGACGCCCTCTGTCCTTAGACCCTCACATCGTACAAGGAAAAAACTTCCGGAGAAAAAACCCACAGTTTAAAGGGAAAAAATGGGAGAAACCTCGGGGAGAGCAACAGAGGAGGGATCCCTCTCCCAGGACGGACAGACGTGCAATAGATGCCGTGTGTAAATCGAAGAGATAATACGTTTTACAGCATAGGTAGGTAGACCGAATATTAGGAAATGCATGTGTCTATAATCTGCAGAAATTAATAACATATTTAACTTTACCTGGTGTAGTTTTTCTATTTTGTGTTGTAATTTATTTTTATTTCACTTTTATGAATCACTTTTTATTGGATTATTTACCTATGTTACCTTTTTAATTACCTTCCCTTTAATCATCTTCAATTCCCAACATGATGCTGTACAAGTTGACATTCTGGTTTCCATATTTACATAAGTCTGAAATAATGTGTACAAATAAAACACTGTTGATATAGTTGAATGTGTAAATTATTATATTATTTTCACGTGTGATATTTGAAATGAATACTTTTATAATCAAGGCCTGCACCAAGAATCTTCTGTGACTCTCACTCTATTGTTCAGGTACGGCAGATGTGGTTAAACTGGTAGAGAACGAAAGTAGAGTCAAACCACAGTGAGAGAACCGAAGACAGAACATCCAGCAGTCTGGCTGACTACAGTAGTTTATGCAAAATGGACGGTAAGTTGGAAATATTTGTATTCTATGTGCGTAATAAGAGATGCAACACTTCATGGTCAAAATACTTTATTAAACTGTGTTAAGTAAAGTGTTGTACGTTTTATAATGATCACTATTATTGGTCATGAATTTTATGTAATGCAAGTATATGCTACATTTTGTGAAGTATGTACATGTGTTAGAGTAAATAGTACAATATTTTCCTGTGAAATTTAGAAGTATAAACATTTGTATGAAAATACTTAACTAAAGTTTTACACATCTTAAATTAAGTGGGGTACTAAACGTAAAGTTCAGAGTAAATGGATTATTCAATTTTAGCATTGCATCAGTATCATCCTGATTCTGCCACACATTTATAACTTAAATCAACTGACCCATTAGTTCAGAACAAATAAAGTCATCCATTAACTAATACAACTAAATAAGTACATTTTGATGTTATTATTCCAAAAACAGACATTTAAAAATGTCATTTGCTAAATACAGATAGCTGGTTTGTTAGATACGTTAAAACAACAACTGTGGACAAAGCGGGTGCAAATGTTTCACTTCACCTGGTTGACAGTGTCCACCTCTCTGCTCTTCTGTGTGCGTGTGTGTAGAAGCGGACGCACACGAGAGGGCAGAGAAACTAGCTAGACCTACAGTACGACAGCATGGCTGCAAGTTTGACAGTGTTTAGATAATTACACCCTATAAAATTGTATATGCACAATGCAGGGTCAATATTTCATTAACTTTTGCTAGCTGGCTACTTACCAGGATTTGCAGGGAGTTTTCCTTGTGGTTCTCGTTGTGGTGTTTCCTTGCTTGTTGCGGTTGCCACATGTGGCGCAGATAGAACATTTGATTTCCTATGAGCACACTGTATTTGCGGGTGATTGTTAATGGGGTCCATGTCATGATGTTTAGTGTAATTTACTCAATGTCTTAAGTTTTTGTTAAAGATGAAGAATATTGATTTGGAATGAGTAAATTGCAGTTCCTGAAACTGATCAGTAAAATGTGCCAATTCTCAAATATTTTCATTGAAATGTATCAAAGATATTAAGGATATCTTAAAAATATAATTAGTTAGTCAAATACTAATTTCTTTCCGTGTCATCAACTTAAATAATAGTGATAATTTAAGATAAAATTAACTGTTGGATTTGTAGGCATTTATTTTGCTATGTCCAACTCAAACAATTACTTTGGTGATATTTAGTTAAGGTAGTACAGCTTTTTATTATTGTGATATTTACAAAGCCACTGAATTAGTTTTTAGAGTGTGGTTTGATCAGATTCTCTTGTCCCATATGTGAAACCCATTGTCACAAACCTGGGTGTACGGATTGATCGTGATTTGAAACTAGACAAACAGATCAATTCTGTGGTAAAATCCAGCTTCTTTCAGCTAAGACGTTTTGCAAAGGTCAAGCCTTTCCTTTCTTTTAATGACTTTGAGAAAGTAATACATTGTTTTATATCCACTAAACTGGATTACAGCTGGTCCAGAATGCTGCTGCACGCCTCCTTACAAGGACAGGCAGGCGTGAACATATTACGCCTGTCCTCGCCTCTTTACATTGGCTACCAGTCAATTTTAGAATACAATTTAAAATGTTACTGTTCGCATACAAAGCCCTAAACGGTTTAGCCCCACCGTACCTGGCAGATCTTTTAAAACCATACACACCCACACGGTCACTGAGGTCGGATTACTTCTGGTAGTCCCAAAATCAAGGCTAAAGCAGCGAGGAGACAGAGCCTTTGCTATTGCAGCTCCAAAGTTATGGAACTAATTGCCCCTCCAGGTTAGACTTGCTCCAACTCAGCCTGTTTTTAAATCTAGCATAAAACCCCACTTCTTTTCCCTGGCATTTGCAGGCCAGGTGACACTTATGCTTTTAAATTTGGGTTTTTATCTTACTAGTGTTTTGTATTGTTGTTTACGTCATGTAGGAGAGTTTATCAGTCTGTGGCTTCTGATCTGGTTTCATTGTCTCGTGTTTTACATTTGTTTCATGTCCTGTCTGTTTTTTATGTATTTATGCTATGTTTCTATACAGTTGTTAATGTACAGCACTTTGTTCAACTCTGTTGTTTTTAAATGTGCTATAGAAATAAAGTGGATTGGATTGGATTGGAATAATGTTTTCTAAACTAAGATCAGAAAGGGGTAGGGCTACTGAAGAAGCTGCCAAGGTTGCAAGTAAAAGAACAAACAAACAAAAAAACTGGTCATATGATACAGGGAGGCGATTGAAACATATTCACGTACACTCCCTGACTAGCAGTCGCTCCACTTTTGATTTGCTTTTGACAACATGGACGGTAAGTTATATTCTTTGAGTTTTTACCAATTTATTTTTGCAATTTAGGTCAGTTGTTGCTAACAAAACAAAAAGTATAGAGTATTAATACAGTGTTTCTCGATTGCTAACACAATTTATTTTTAAATTGCTCAGTTTCTCAGAACATTGAACACAATTCACAAAACCACACACCCAAAGTGCAAAACACCTAATTTCTCCTGCTAAATGAAGAACTGCACTCAAAACTACATAAACACTTACCAAATGCAAACTTTTGCACCAAATATAATACACTTCATTCATAATACAAGATTGTTTGACCACCCAACTACACACTGTTGAGCATAATCTAAAGCACTTTCATGGGCTATGCTCTGTACATAGAGGTTTCTGCAGAGAAAGATTGCTTGAGTATACAGAAATACAGTAAATGAAGAAATACAAATGAGTTGTTGAAAAAAATCTTATTTTATTAAAAAATAACATTGTGCAACATGCATCTCAGGACATATTTACAGTTGTTTCTGTAAAGCAAAACAAAAATGATGCTTCTGTCAAATACAGTAGATAGAAATAAAAACTTAGTGTAAAAAAATATTAGGCTGAACCCTCTGTCCAGCCTCTCTCATCGTCAAACCATGGTTGATAACATGGTCAATTAAAGTGGCCCGGATTTCATTAGAGAGTATTCTTCTTTGTCCACGTCCTCTCCTTCCAGCTCTACCTCTACCTCTAATTCTTCCTCCTCTCACTCTCACCCCACCTCTTCCTCCTCCTGTCACTCTCAGCCCAGCTCTTCCTCTTCCTCTTCCTCTTGCTCTTGCTTCCATGTTGGCTTCCATTGTTGCTGTAAGAAAGTACTCACCTGTGGTCTTTTTTATAGTGCTAACATCCTGATTGATGAGCCAACAATTATGCAATCAGGTGTTTGGTCAGGTGGAACGTGTTTCTTGATCATTGGTCCATGTGTGAGGCATTTTGAATATCAGTGTTACTGTATGTGCTAACACGTGTCTTTATGTCAGATTCCTGTGTCTTACGTGGAGAAACGTGTGCAGTGGTTTGAAAAAAGTGCCATGTTGATTTGCAAATTGTGTGAAAAGCTGAAAACGTGTTTAGAGTTTTGGAAATTTGAGCCGATGTTTTGCTCTTTGAGTGTCAGTTAAAATAATTGTGCTTTATGTATAATTTTAGTGTGTTAGCAATCGAGAAAAACTGTAATGAAAATTATTCTCTTTCAGAGTCAGACAGAAGAATCGTCATCTTGGGGAAAACTGGAGCTGGGAAAAGCAGCGTGGCTAACACCATATTTGGAGAAGAACTGTTCAAAACTAATAGCACCGCCAACTCTGGAACAAGTACATGTCAAGCAGAAACCAAAACCATCAATGGAAGAAGCATCACTCTGATCGACACTCCTGGTCTCTTCGACACAGTTAAATCAGAGGAGGAGCTGAAGCCTGAGATAATAAAGTGTATGATAGAGTGCGCTCCTGGGCCCCATGCTTTTCTCCATCTGCTCAAAGTGGAGAAATTCACAGAGCAAGAACAGGAAGTGATCACAAAAATAAGCCAATTATTTTCTGAAGAAAGCTTCAAACACGCAACAGTTCTCTTCACTCATGGTGACCAGCTCGATGAAGGACAGACAGTTGAGGGGTTTTGCGACAAGAATACGTTTGCAAGTGATCTGTTGAAGAAGTGCGGAGGCCGCTGCCACGTCATCGATAATAAATACTGGAACAACAACCAGCAGGATGAAAACAGGAGCAATCAGTTCCAGGTGAAGGAGCTACTGAAGACAATAGATAAGATGGTAGAGGCAAACAAAGGAAGCTGCTACACCAATGAGATGCTACAAGCAGTGGAGAAAGACATACAACAAGAGGTGGAGCTGATTAGACAGTCATCAGGAAACATGTCACAGGAAGAAGTCAGAGAGCAAGCTAAAGACAGACAATTTAACAAGCTTATGATCAAACTGGCAGGCATTACAACAGGTGTATTGTTAGGAGCTCTTCTTGGTGGAGTAACGATGGTTGCAAAAGTTCTCTTAGTGTTGAAGAAAAGGTTGCCAAGAGAAATAGTATCAGCAGGGATAACGAAATGCAGATCAGAACTAGCAGAACTAGCAGGGGCAGCAGCAGGAGCAGGAGGAGGAGGAGGAGCAGGAGGAGGAGGAGGAGCAGCAGCAGTGTTAGCAGTAGTTGCTGCAGCGGGAGCAGTGCAAGGAGGTGTTGCAGGGTATCAAGCAGCTGAGGGAGCCGACTCACCACTGGAAGCAGCACAGAGAGCAGCAGAGGCTATCAAGGATCAAGCACTGTCTCCCTGGGAAGAGCTCTTGTTGAACAATGAAAACCCTCACTCAAAGAAAGGGAATTGAATATCATTGAAAAGTCACATCTCTGTGTAGATTGCATGAACATATTATTGTAATGATCTTTAATCAGTGAACTGATAATCTTTATTTATAAGTAATATGCTATATGTTGGCTTTGTTATCTGAACTTCAAGCTTGATTCGCTCATTCCCTTTTCACAGGATAATTATCTCTCATTAAATAACTTTACTCCATTAACTTGAGATTCGATATTGTACATACACTTCCAACTATTCCATGTGTATATTGTATTAACCATGGAGGAAAACAGTTTTTGCATTTTGCACCTCTCCTACTTTGTATTGCAGCTATTGCTAAGTATTTTCCTTTTGTAAAACATAGCCCGGAGAAGATACTTAATCTATGAACAGCATCAACAGTTGTGGCTCTCTGTGGATTATAATGTATCACCATGAAAAAAATGAACAATGAATAAATGGAAGGCTATGAAAACATGTTCAGCAAATAAAGTTTTTATTTCCCCCCACCACACACACGCACAAAAAAAAGTGAAACTAGAATAAAACGTGCCTGAAAGCAAAGGGGAATATACACACATGATGTCTGTTACATGTAAAACTGTTTTCTTTTCAAAAAATCATGGACAGCAAGTTTACATTACTTCTTTCAGTTTATTCTGTTGTTAACACTGCTCACTGCACAATATTCTATGACATATGGCATCTATCTGAGAAGACCAATCATGAGAGTTTTGTCTGATGCTATAACACACATATGTCAAACTCAAATAGAAAAATAGTAGAACATATTGAACCAACTGACAAGTTTAAATTCCAATATGGATGTAAATGCAGGTGCAGGATGTCTACCAATGTCTTATCAATGTTTTATTTGAAATCCTCCTCACTACTTCCTGGAAGAAAGGAGTTGCATTTGCAGTGCTGAACAGAACACAAACACTCATTTAAACAAATGGTCTAGAAATCTAAACTGAAGGCCCATAAAGGTAAAAAAAAAAAACAGTGGAGATGTGAAATGTTCAAAAATAAGGAACATGCTTCTGTAGCTTGTTGACATGCAACAGAGCTGGTGCTTATTATAAATGTGGACACTTGAATTAAAATGTCCACTGTGTGATATGCTTATGCCAATAGTGTGTCGCCAAGAAACAAGTCAAACAGGTGTAAAACAAAGCCAAAGGCAGAAGAAATGATACGCAGTCACAACAACCTCCAGATCGGAGTCTGCTGATTTAAAAAAATTCCAAGCATGAGTGGTAAGTTAAGGTTACTTATTCCATAAATAATAATAATATTATAATGTTTTCACAAGTTTTGGTCCATTTTCGAACAATGAAACTTAAATGCCGAAATTATGTTTGTTCTATCTTGTCTACAGTCATTGATTTTGATACTCTTTTAAAAGGGTAATTTCATAAGGTTGACTATTACCTATGAAAGCAAATGAAAGGAGATAAATAAAACTAAGTCATGATAAAGATCATGTTTATTTTTTTGTGAGTACCGGCATTTTAAATAATACAAAATAGACTTTAGGCGAGTAGATTATTGACGAAAAATACCCATTGATGATGACTCCTGAATTCCTTTTTTACATTATTTTGTGAAAACAATAAAAAACTATTCATATTATTTCAGTTTCAAAATGTATTAATATAAATATTTTATCTTAAAGAAATCTGTGTCCATTCAAACTGCTTGTTTGAAAATGTTGCGTAAAAATCATTGATTACACAGACAGAGAGCCTATACAACTTATTAATGTATTATATAATACTGTATGAAATTATATATATGTATTTTAGACATATTTTATACATTCATATATTTGTCAAAATATGTAGATGTACAGTAAGCCTACTCTGAACACTGACAGAGTTAAGTTAGCATGCTGATATTGTCATCACAGCTTTGCTATTTTTGAAATTCTTTGCTCACTCTATATCCCCTGCAAAAGCAGTGAAAGATATCAGTGACATAGAGTCATTACTGTCTTCTAGATTTAACAAGAAGGATCGTGGTTTTGGGAAAAACTGGAGCTGGGAAGAGCAGCCTCACCAACACCATCTTCGGAGAGACTTTGTTCGAGATAGACGATTCGGCCAATTCAGGAACACGTGTATGTCAAGCAGAAACCAAACGTGTAAACGGGACAAAACTCATGTGGGTTGACACTCCTGGGTTTTTCGACACAAGCAGACCTGAGGAGGAGCTGAAGTCTGAGATAGAGAAGTGTATCGAAAAGTGCGCTCCTGGGCCTCATGTTTTTCTCATTGTGCTTAAAGTGGAGAAATTCACAGAGCAAGAGAAGGACGTCGTCAAAAAAATACAACAATGTTTCTCTGAAGAAGCTTTAAAATATGCCATATTTGTCTTCACACGTGGTGACCAGCTCACTGAGGGAATGGCGATAGAGCAGTGGGTCGATCTGGATCCAGACCTGAGGAATCTGCTGAAGAAGTGCGGGAGACGGTGCCACGTCATTGATAATATTAGATGGGAGAAAGACCAGACGGATGAATACAGGAGCAACAAGTTCCAGGTGGCTGAAATACTCAAGACAATAGACAGGATGGCTGATGCAAACACAAAAAAGCTGTTACACCATTGAGATGCTACATGCTACAAATAGACCATTGGTTAATTGGGCTGTAGCGGTAGCTTGTCTTGCAGCTTTGGTGTCCATTGCTGTTATTTTTGATAAAAAATGAATATCATGACTAACTGCAGCATTAGGGCTGTGTGATGTCAAGAATCTGGCAATATGATACAGATCATGATACTGGCTTAAAACTCAACATATTGCAATATTGCAGGGTTATATATTGTTTTTTTTTTATCTAATTTGAAAGAATTCCTTAAAATTAGATAAGGAATTAAAATGATTTCTACTCTTATATCATATATTTTGTAACTTGCAACTTAGTTTTTTTTCCATCATCCATTTATCTGCCAAAAACAGTGAAAAATGTCAGTCATTATTTCTCAGAACAGTACAAGAAAACCTTGATAAACTAAAATGTGTCTTTACCGAGTATCAGAGACCGATGAGAGTAGTAATGAAATGCATTTTATATGACTTTAGTATATGTTTATTAGAGAGGCGTCTGACCTGAGAGTTGAAGTCTTACCATTAACATTTGAAAGCATTGTATGTTTAATGTGTGACTCAAATATGAAGTATTTACAGTGCCAAACATTTGCTTCCTTCCCTTCCCTTTTTATTACGGTGAACGCGTTTGATTTACTGTATCCTTTAGTATTTACTATAAAAATACAATTATCAATTATCCGATTATCCCATCAAGATCTGATGTGGGCTCTCCGTAATTTCTTTGATTCTGTTTTCATTGTTTTATTTTGTCATAACTTAATCAAAATACAACAATAAATTAGTAATTTAATAATGTGTTTTCAAGTGGATTTTTTTATTATACAATCTTAAAGATTATTATTATTATGCTCATTATCAGGTTAATATTTGTTATTCCTCTTCTGTCACATGTCCCGCCCCTAAGCCTATCACGTACAATGTGTTGGAGCGCTAGCCAATAGCTTACTTGTTACATAGTGATGTCACTATGTTCTAGAAGTAAAGAAAGGAGACCAATGGAGGCGTTTCAGGCAGGGGGGGAATGTGTGAGAGAGAAACTCCCTCTGGATTTTAGCCTTTGCAGACCATTTACATGCACTAAAACCTATATAGCATACTATAGGAAAGGGAAAACCCCGAAAAACATAATAGGGCCTCTTTAATTTATCCAATGAGCCGAAAGGACCTCATGATATTAGAAAGGCTGATATTCTGCAACAAACAGTTTGTACAGATTCACTGTTTGTTTCCTGCTTTATGTTACTATGGAAACAATCTGATTTTACATATGATGATTTGTCACAATACTGTGTCAGAGAAACAAAACGCTGCCACACCGGTACGAGTCAAATAATCAGCAACTCATATTTAAGCATATTTAATGAATTAATTTGTGTTATGTAACAATTTGTGGTTGATTGTTGTTTTTCATTGATGCAGTATATTGATGCCTGTGCTTGAATGAAAGAAGTGAAATGTGAGTGGATAATTGTATCAGCCGGCAGCCGAGAAACAAGTCGGACAGGTAGACAAAAGAATGTAAGCAAGAGGTGAGTCTGAGTCAGAGAACAAAAGAAAAGCTCACAGTGGAGACGAGTCGCGGATCGCAGTCTTTTCTTTTGCTAATAATTCTTCCTTTGACAGCATGGACGGTGAGCTAAGCTTCATTTTATATTTAAATATTTTATTCAAATTAAAATGATTGTATTTTTTTCTATATGAATTGGGCGCCTACTCAAATCTCAAAATCCTAACTCGTCCTTTACACTATGTAGAAATGATTGGAGTTGTAATATATTTTTGTTTATTATTAAGGTTGTTTGAGGCTATTATGTCACTTTGATAAAATACACTCTGACAGTTGTCGCATTGACAGTTGTCACATTAAGCCTTTTTTTATCTACATTAATCTCACCAGGGCATTGTGGACTAACATGTCATGTGAAAATGTTTTATCTTTCAGTATCATATAAAAAATAAATGTGACAGGTGTGACAGTATCCATTAGTTAATTATCTTTTGCTGCCCTCAAAGTAGCTCCTCAAACACATCTTTGACTGCACCTGTTTTCATTCAAATCACAAACCAAAACTCACCTGTCATTAATATTGTGTTTTATATTTGATTTGGGTTGTTTTTAAAATTGTATGCATCTGTAAATTCTCTTTGAATATCTTTAAATACATAAAAAGTATTATTATTATTGGTTTATATTATTACTATTATTCTCAGAACCTGTCAGGTCTCTTACAGTCTCCAAAATATATTATATTGGTAAACATGCAATTTTGATGTGTGAATTTGTATTTCTTTTTTAAGATATTTGTTTTGCCAGAGTGCTATAATTAGAGATACAGAGTTAAAGGGTGAGATAGAGGGGATGAAATTGCGTGAAATGTTCAACAAATGAACTAATTAACTGAGTCACTTTTTTCACTTTAGTGCCAAACACAAAGAGGATTGTGCTGCTCGGAAAAACTGGAGTCGGAAAGAGCAGCCTTGCTAACATCATTTTGGGAGAGGCCAAATTCAAAATTGACCATTGTAATGACTCAAAAATGAAATCTTCTTCAGCAGAAACCAAATCCATCGATGAACGAAGCATCACTTTGATCGACACTCCTGGTTTCTTCGATGCAGGAAGGTCTGAGGAGGAGATGAAGCCGGAGATGGTGCGGTGTCTCACAGAGTGCGCGCCTGGGCCCCATGCTATTCTCATTCTGCTCAAAGTGGAGAAATTCACAGAGCAGGAAAGGGCTGTGATCACTCAAATGTTTGAGTATTTCTCTGGAGACGCGTTCAAACACACCGTAATTGTCTTCACTCATGGCGACCAGCTCCCCGAAGGAAAGAAAATAGAGGAGTACGTAGAGCAAAGTGAAGGTCTGAGTGATCTGGTGCACAAGTGCGGCGGCCGGTGCCACGTCTTTGACAGTAAATACTGGAAGACCAATGAAGGGGACGAGTACAGAAGTAACCAGTTCCAGGTGGCAGAGCTACTCAACACTATAGATAGCATAGTGATGGCAAACAGTTCAGGCTACTACACAGACAAAGCTATACAAGAGATAGAGAGAGAAATACAGAAAGAAGAAGGGCACATTAGACAAGCATCAGGAAACATGCCAGAGGTAGAGATCAGAAAAGAGGCTAAAAGCAACTACTTAAAGAAGAAGGTGGACAACGCACCTCGAACATGGTTTAGAGGTTTTATTCGATACGCAGTTATAGCTGGAATACTTGCAACTATCTCAGCTGTGTTGATCAATTCAAAAATGTTTAAGATATGTAGGGTAGCACCACAGGATATCAAAGTCCCAGCAGCACCACCACTGACAGAGGTGAAAGTACAGGATGGCACAGGTTCAGATTCTCTCCCTGTCAGTCCAGTGGTAGAGTTAACACAAAGTGCATTTGAGTATGTTGTGGACAAATGCAATGCTTTGTATGAAAGAACGTACAATCCTTGGAATCCATTTGAATGAACACCAAGGCAGAATCAAATGAAAATCAGCAGAAGAGATTGTCATTGATGTATAGTCGTCGCACCCAGCACATGCACATTTATTTCAATCATTTTTTTAAGCTATAAAATGTAGTAACTTAAGGTTGAATTAATTTGTCTATTTTATATCTTACCTTGTGATGGTTCTTGCGTCTTTGCTTTACATGTTCGGCTTGTTCCTGTCAACTGAAAAGATAATTACTTTATATCTGTTTTTGATATACTGAGAAGGTGTAGCAAACCATTTTTAGAAAATGTCAAAAACCTGGAAATGTGTATTTTCCTTACTCAGCTAAACTTATTATCTTAAATCTACAAGTTGTTGTTTGGGCATGGTTCATGACTTTTAGAATATGTCCTCTATACTGTTTTTTGATGTGTCTGTTGTGAGTCCACAATATGTACGGTTGTGAAATACAAAATCAATATGTACCCTTTAATGATGATTATGTTTTGTTTGAATATGTAACACTTTGTTTAAAATGTTTTATGTAACAATAAACGTCTGATTGGTAAAGGATCTTTTTCAGTTTCTGTTTTTCATGAAACCATTCACAGGTGCTGTCAAAGGGTTGATGATACTCATACATTCTAATAATAAACCAAGTCCAAAGATGAATTGCAGATATTGTCTGAGCCATAGGCAGAGTATTACTGTAATAATATTACTTTTGTCGGTAACGGAGTAGTGTAACGCGTTACTTTTATAATTCAGTAATCACACTACAGTTACTAACATTGCCCCGACACGCGTTACTTCGTTACTTTTATAAAATCAGTCATAATCACACTGACATACAAGAGGGGTTTCCGCCGCAGGTTTATATGTACGTAATCTGCGCGACTTGCGTGTCCACATCTCCACGTGCAGTGCTGCATAAACATGGCTGAGTCAGCGATAACTTTCGAGGGGTGGATGTATGCCCATTATTTTGAGTTTGTCCGAAGAATAGACAGGAATGTGACGGTGAGGTGCAAACTGTGTCCAGGCCAGAAGCTGTTATACACTGCTGCAAACACCACGTCAAACCTCAACAAACACCTGCAAAGAACACATGCTAAGGTGAAGCTAATAGCTAAGGACCCCCGAACCCAGAGTGAGGATGTTGTGAGTGCGCCGCCGCCGACTCCGAAGCAGCAAAAATTACCGGTAACCAAAGCAGAGATGGACAGGCTTGCAGCATCCTTCATAGTAGAGGAAATGTTGCCCATTTGCACAGTGGAATCACCATCGCATCGTTCAGAGATATACTGCGCAAAATACAGATAGCAGGAGACAGAGGACAGCCATAGTCAGAGCTATCTGGATCAGTCTTATGCGACAATGGAAACTGAACTAAAGAGAACATTTGAAACTTTAGCAGTCTGCGTGATCTGCCTGTAGGGAGGGGCGGGCCGGCCCTGCGAGTAAAGTAATGAGTAAAGTAACGAGTAAAGTAACGAGTAAAGTAACGAGTAAAGTAACGAGTAAAGTAACGAGTTACTTTATGCAGAGAGTAACGAAGTAGTGTAATACATTACTTTTTTTTAAAGTAATATGTAATATGTAATATATTACTTTTTTTTAGTAACGATCCCATCTCTGGCCATAGGGCTTCTTTGTTGAAAACTATAAAAAACCATTGGCTGACAGTTTTCTTTGTGTTGCTGAACATAGGCAGTGTCATTTATTTGAGTCAATTACCATCCTGTTGCTATCAATAGTTACAAAAGCACCATATAAGTATGACATATGCAAATAGTCCTAAATCCATGCACTATTTACTCTCCTTTGTTGAATGTTTGATAGGAAATAGAGTGCCAAACTGCTATAACATACTGGGCCTTTTTTTAATGAAGCTATTTCATGTTGAATTGTTTTCTGAATATTGAATTCGCCTAAACGAGCTCGGTGCTAACCAAAACATTTTTTGCATCAGCGTCTTTATTTTAATCTGAATTTTTCCAGGACCTAAAGAGTAGCAACTGTAATTCTAACAATAAATACTTTTTGTTGATCGAAGCCAAATACAAAAGGCCTTTTTGTTTTCAGTCTGCGTAGATGTATTGTTTATTCCCAGAAGTCAGGTGGATGCTGCCAATAAAAACAGATAGATAAGATTACATTCAACCTGTTGAGTTTCACTAAAACAAAAACACTCCACCTTTAAAATATATGAAAAGGTGCAGCTGCCATCCTCCCTTTTCTCACGAAATATACATTTCATTTCATTTCAAACCTTTATTTATCCAGGTTGTATCCCATTCAAGGGAAAGACTACTTATTCTCTATATGATGTTGTTTTTAATCATTTAGTGGTGGGAGATTAGCGGCTTTGAAAGCAGTGGATGTAGTTTTAGAGGGACCCATTTCCTGTTTATTGCAATGACCTGATGCCTATAGTTTTTACGACGCTTCAATTATGTAAGTACATCTCAGTCAAAATCTGCAGATGTAGGATGGGTGGAGTACCGTACTGTTGCCAATTATTTTATTCCCATGTTCATACAAACAAGGTTTACCAAAACCTATTTGCCTGTTGCCATTAATAAACCTTTCCAAATGTAATTCTTTACAACCTGTTCTTTCCAAACCACATGCAGTCACCACCCTAAAAAGTAGACCTGCTGATCTGGAAACTGTCATTCAAGCATTTATTTCCTTCTTCTATTTCTGTAATGCCCTTTTAATTAAAAAGGCCTCCCTTTCTGAGGCTTGGTAACAGTGTTACAAGGATTTGAACTCTAACGAAAACAACCAGATTTCACCAATCTCTGCATCCAAACCCTGGTTTACATTTGCCTTGTTATCAATTTAGAAAATGATGTTGTACAAGAAGTAGTTCACAACTGATATGAACTGAATGTAAATATCATTATTTACAAGTGTGATTTTTTTAGATAATTTATCCTGCAACTTGGCCAAAATTGCCTTTGATAACTTGTTATATTGCTGAGATGTAAAGCCACATGTCCTGAACCTAATCTACAAAAATGTATTTTTCTCTAAGTTAATTGTTTTAAAAACTCCAATTCCAAAAAATATCTAATATCACCTGGTGTAGTTTTTCTACTTTGTGTTGTAATTCCTTTTTATTTCCCTTTTTGTATTGGATTATTTACCTTTGTTACCTTACTATTTCATTACCTTCCCTTTAATCATCTTCAATTCACAACATGATGCTGTACAAGTTGAAATTCTGCTTTCCGTTTTTACATAAGTCTGAAATAATGTATTAATTTAGTTGAATGTGTAAATGATTAAATGCAATTTTCATGTGTGATATTTGAAGTGAAGACTTTTATAATTAAGGCCTGCACCCAGGGGCGGATCTACCGGGGTGGCATGTAAAAAATAGCCTTGCCACCCCAGTTGGCATCTTTGTTTTGGAAGAAAAGTTGTGGCTCATCGGACATTCATGAGAGAAAATCTCTAATGTCCGAGTGCAAGTGAATGCAGCACAAGACGCAAGTCTTGTAACCCCTTCCCTGGCCCTGGCGCGAGCTTGGAAATATGATTGGCGGAGATTTCATTTGAACGGGGGGACAGCGCAAAACGAGAAGCATTCGGACTCAAGTAGACGGAAGGAATGAGGTATTTGCGGTCTACAATAACAGAGAAGAGACTGTCAAGTTTGGCTGTACTCAGCATTGAATCAAAACGCACTAAAGCTGTTGATCATAATCAGTTTGTGAGGCGTTTTGCTGAACAAAATGGTAATCGCCGCATTCAGCTGTAATAGGCATGCCAACTTGATGCTCTGCTCATGGATGACTCGATGAGCATAACAAACTGTTAAGATGATGACCTTGTATGTGTGTATTTATTTATTTTTTAGTCCAGCAGATATGTGACATATCTGAAAGAATTGTGCTTTTGATGATAAAAACATGAACTTTGGCACACTGTTAGAGCATGCCCTAAGGAAGATTTTTGGCTATAGGGCCATCGCATATTTGTCCATTGGTTGTTATGTTGGGGAGATCCAGCACTCACACAACATGAAAGAATGAAACAGAGAGGAATCAATGAAACACAAACACAGAAATAGTTGAGATTAATCATTATTATTTAGTTGCGCACCACTAAACAACAATGGGGAAACATTACCTTGCTTCAACAGCAACCAATCGCAGAAATGGTCCCACAAATATTCAGAAACACAGGACACTTAAAGGTTTCCTAAATGACACACGAACATGTTCCCTAATCATGTTTAACGCACACACATTGTCAGGTCTCCTAAACTTGGACGCACCAACATCAGAGCAACATGTAAGTTCCAGATGTCAAAAGGTCATTATCTCATGAAGTCTTTAGGAGCCTTGCAGGATATGAATTATCCAATTAACAAACTATATATATCGTCTGCACATGAGCGCACATACATTTCTTTACAATAACTAACACACCAACATCCTTATCGTTTCTTAGCTAATGCATGCTGGATATGAACCACTAACTAACAAGACTTTAACTGTATTATATATCTGAGGAAGACCTCTCTTGGAGTTCCTCTGACCTTTGCCAATTTACTTAACATGGGTACATCTGCTGTTAATTGCAAAGACCATTGATAATTAGCAAAGAGACTCATGGGCCTCTTGCAATATCTGGAAACTGTAATTAAATCATAGTTACATTTTGAAGGTCCAAGACTTGACATAACAGTTATTTTACCAGCAGCTTAGGATCTAGACCACCTAGGATATTGATTCTGGTGGCTAATCCTACATTTTCAAGGATGAGGAATGCAGTGGTACTATTTACAACATGCTAGAATGTAGCTAAATTCATGTATCTGGTATTCAGGGAACAAAATACACAGTAAAACCATTAACATATTTATTATGGTGAAGTAATACATGTTACATAATATAATATTACAGGTTTTCAACTAAATGCAGAGTTAGTTCTGAAAACACAGTCCCCCACAGTAGCAAGGGCAGTGCTCTGAATTGCTGCCTTGACACATTTGAAAATTGTCCACTGCACCCCTTTTTGCATCCAGTCACCTGGGGATGGGAGTTCAGGGGCTGCAAACATCATCTGCTGGTCATCCCAGCAGTGACCAGCTTGGAAGGCAGCTCTCTTTGTGTGCTGAATCAATGCTGCTTATGTTGGGGGGAGTACTTCAATTGTTATATCTTTCTGGGTGAAGAGCTGCTTGCGTGCCTGATTGACTGACTCCTGGCTGATAGTGTGGTCAAACAATACCAGAGAGCACTGTCACACTCACTTCTCTACTTCCCCTTGTCTACGACCAGGCCAAATCTGTGGCCATGATTCGTCATTCCATGGAGGTGGTAAGGCAGGCATTGGAGATTCTGAATCCTGGTCAGATACCAATCATTACTCTGGATCAACTACGCTGTGGCAAAACAAACCCAGTGGAGCTGGCCAGCAACTCAGAAGATCATTTTATTGTTATGTTTGTTGGGTTTCACATTGAAATGGCAGCACTCAAGGTACTTGGCAACCTCCAGGAGGGGTAGCGGGTGGACAAGAGCAGTGTCATGTCCCCAGTTCCACTTCTGGTCTATCATCCTGTAGCTGGAAATAGAGTTGATGATCTATGTGCGATCAATAAGAGAGGCTGACTTCCTACTCTATATAAATGACCAAGATTGTGCCTTGGTTCCTTGCTCTGGGACACACCCACTATGCCGGATGGACACCAGTCCACTTGCGTGACATGATTGTGCTAAAAGATAACCATCCTGATGTCCATGGGCAGTTTCTGAAAGGAAAGGCTGTGAAGAAGACGACATGCAGCTTCTCTGCTATTGCCATTGACCAAGCCCACGAGCAGAACAATGCCTCCGTGAAAGGTGATAGTGATGCTGTAGGCCTGACAGAGAACCCTGCAGCTCTGCGACGATGGATGCTGTCTGGCCCCGAGATGGCACGTGTGGTTGGAGAGTTTGAGGCCTCCACTGAGAAGAGAAAGAAGACTGACACCCGGCACCATGAGCAGACCAAAAATGGCATTTGCACGAGATGTTAAAGCACTGGTGCTATAGAAGACATGGGCAATCCATGCTGTGAAAAGAGCATTGTAGATCTTCTTGTATTGGATACTAGAGATCTTGCAGATGCAGCAGTCATTGACACTCTGAACCAAATTGAGAAACTTGGACAGGCCTCAGTATGACACTGTACAGTGGAGGAAATAAGTATTTGATCCCTTGCCGATTTTTTTTATTCACCCACTTACAAATAAATGAACAGTCTATAATTGCAATGGTAGGTTTATTTTAACAGTGAGAGTAAGAATATAAAAAAGAAAATCCAGAAAATTACATTATATAAAAGAGAAAAATGTATTTGCATTTAACAGTGGGAAATAAGTATTTGATCCCCTTGAGACCAACAAGAATTCTGGCTCCCGCAGACCGGTTAACTAAGTCCTCTTCCTTTAAGAAAGTACTCCTAATATCAACTTATTACCTGTATAAAAGACACCTGTCCACAGAATCAATAAATTAGATTCCAACCTCTCCACCATGGGCAAGACCAAAGAGCTGTCAAAGTACCTCAGGGACATGATTGTAGACCTGCACAAGGCTGGGATCAGCTACAAGACCATCAGAAAGCAGCTTGGGGAGAAGGAGACTGTTGGTGCGATTATTCGGAGATGAAAAAAAATAAAATGGGCATCAATCAACAATCAATCGCTCACGGTCTGGGGCTCCACACAAGATCTCGCCCCGTGGGGTATTGATGTTCATGAGAAAGGTGAGGTATCAGCCAAGAACTACACGGGAGGAACTTGTTAATGATTTCAAGGCAGCTGGGACCACAGTCACCAAGAAAACTATTGGTAACACACAACACCATAATGGATCAAATCCTGCAGCGCCTGAAGGCCCCATGCTCAAGAAGACTCATGAAAGGCCACCATCATTGTCACAAATGGGCAAGCTGAGAACTGGTACCAAGTCAGATTGGTGGGCTGTTTGGAGGACCTGATTTATTTACAAGAGAATCATCTCACCCCACAGTACAGGTCATCATCCCCTTGTGAACATGCTACGACCTGGTGCTACTAAGACGTTTTTTGATTATGTGCAGAAAGTGTTCTCACCATACTGACATGCTCTCAGCTGGAGCATGTTAGCAGAGTCGATGTCGTGTGGGATGAATATTTCCCCGAAAGTCTGAAGGCTGAAACACGCAGCAAGAGAGGGAAGGGAGTTCATAGACACGTTGAGCCATCCAGTGTCATTCCTGGAAACTGGCCAGAGTTTCTGCGCATTGAAGACAAGAAGGCTGAACTGTTCTCCTTCCTGGCAACCAGTGTGACAGCCCTCAACACTGGCAAACAAATAATCAGTATTTGCACCATGCACACATGAGGAGGATAACCACATCCTACTGCACCTAGGAGATGCTGTGAAGGAAGGGTATAGCAAGGTGTCAATACGCACAGTTGACACGGATGTGGTAGTACTGGCAGTCACAGCAGCCCAATCCCTCAACATCACTGAGCTGTGGGTTGCCTTTGGAGCTGGGAAGGTTGTAACTGTTTGCAGTAAAGTTGTGGGGCGCTGAACTGTTCGTTTGAATCTTTTGAATTTTGATATATGATCGTAATTACTTGTCTTTCAAATTTGAAGGAGGGTGAGCAAGCATCTTGAGGAACATTCATCATTAACTCCTCCAAACCAGGCACCATGAGCAGACCAAACATGCACAAATGGCATGTGCACGAGATGTTAAAGCACTAACTGGTGCTATAGAAGACATGGGCAATCCATGCTGTGAAAAGAGCATTGTAGATCTTCTTGTACTGGATACTAGAGATCTTGCCGATGCAGCAGTCATTGACACTCTGAACCAGATTGAGAAACTTGGACAGGACCAGAGTCCTGTACTACGAATCTAGTTCAACATATCCTGGATATGTTTGAGTTAGCCGGTTGACCTAATCCAAAACAAACGCGCTCTCGCTAAGCGGTCCTACGACACGGGTTATCAACTCGATCGCTCAAGCAAGCCGTACCCTATCTAGTTAGGTGCGCGTTCACATAAAAGGAGTGGTATTTAGAGCGATCGACCAATCACAAACATGGACAAGCCGCGTACTGACAGCGCAGCGTCATACTTCCTGAATGAAAAGTCAACTATAATATTAGACATATGAAGAAGTTAAACTTTAAACATCCATGACTTAAACACTTTATCCAGGATAAAAGCCACATAGTTGCAGCTGCAAGGTGAATACTGCTGGTAAAAGAAAAAGCGTTTGAATGCGTACATCAACAGGTTTATGATATCACTGCCCCGTCTAAGACACGAGTGGATCTGACTTTAATTACATTTGACTCGAGTGTTTCGTCAACTTAATGTGTTGCTTAAAATAATACTTCTGCATACAGTATGTGACACTGTGAGTGTTGCACGACCAGATACAGCTCAAGAAGCTGACTCAGATAAGGAAATATATTATACATTATGATGTGATATGATGTGATATGAATGATAATGGGACACATCGACGTCTGCACTCACAGTGCCGCGGACTGTAGGCTACGTAATGTTACTTTGATCCGGTTACTTATGTTGTGGCAGATATTTAAGTAAACTTTCTTAACGCTAATGTTATAATAGTCAGATTGCTCTGAAGATGAGAGGTGATATTCTATTCATTTTCACATTCACACAGTCAGTGATTTTGGCCGGCCGTCTTTCCTGCAACGGCAGTTTAAACTGTATTTCCTTTATCCTGTAATATTACTTGATCACTTTAAACTCTGCACACTGTTGTTATCAGCTGTTCCACCATGGTTGCTACCTCAACCTGTAATAGATTTATCCTTATTGAAATGGTTACATTCAATGAAAAATAAAATCAATGTGCAGGCTTACGTGAACACTGTTCTATATGAACAATATGGGCAGTTTATACAGATATTTACTGATGGATCCAAAAATCCAGAAAATGTTAAAACTAGTTGTGCATTTTATGTTCCTGAATTAAAGGTCAAAGTGGAAAAGCGAGCAAATAATCACATCGCAGTATACACAGTGGAGATGATGGCTATCTCACTAGCACTTCAGAGGAAGTACAGCCAATGCGAGTGGTCATTTGCTCTGACTCCAGCGCAGCTTTGGAGAGTATAAATAACTTCTCATCAGTATGTCATCAGGATATTCTACATGAAATTTTGCACATCATGTTTAGGTTAGTACATTTGGGAATTGTTGTTCAATTTGTGTGGATTCCAGCGCATGTGGGTATTAGAGGGAATGAGGTAGTGGATCAACTGGCAAAAAATGGATTGAAAGCAAACCAGATTGATATAATATACCCATCAGTAGAGCAGAAGTCAAATCAGTTACGAAAGTTGTTATCAAACAACAATGGCAAAAGTTATGGGACAGTAACACCAAAGGAAGACATTTATACCAGATACAAAGGGAAGTAGGAACGGGAAGCACTTGGGGGAGTAGTAGAAGAGAACAGAGCATTAACAGCAGGATAAAATTGGGTCAATCTGGATTAAACTCATCACTGCATCTGATTGGAAAACATCCAACTGGCAATTGTGATGGTTGCCAACAATCAGAGTCAATACATCATGTATTTTTTAGCTGCCCGGAATATGCAAGGCAAAGACTCATTCTGAAAACTGCACTGGAACAACTTAACATCAGGGACATGGATTTCAAGGCAATATTCGCAAGTAACTCAAGAAATGAAGTAAACAAGCTGATCTTCAAGCTTCTCAAAAACACTGGTCTGAGGACAAGGATTTAACATGGACATTAAATAAATCAACAGTAGGTGGGAATATATGCTCCAAGTGGAAGCGATTCGCCATTAAAGCAAAGAAGAAGAAGAAGAAGAAGAAGAAGAAGAAGAAGAGCTCCAATTGGTCAGCAGGCGGTGCTTTCACTGAGTTGATCTCTTATCCTGGAACCTAACCTGCTCCGGAGCAGGCTAGCCGTTCAGCATAAGTTACCGTGGAGATCTAGCCCGCTAAGAAGTGAACCAGCGTCGTGGGACCAGAAATCCAGATCTTTCCCTGAATGTAGCTCGCTAAGCGAAAATCCGGCTTCGTAGTACAGGCCTCAGTATGACACCTACAGTGGAGGAAATAAGTATTTGATCCCTTGCCGATTTTTTTTATTCACCCACTTACAAATAAATGAACAGTCTATAATGTTAATGGTAGGTTTATTTTAACAGTGAGAGTAAGAATATAAAAAATAAAATCCAGAAAATTACATTATATAAAAGAGAAAAATGTATTTGCATTTAACTGTGGGAAATAAGTATTTGATCCCCTTGCAAAAAAACAAGAATTCTGGCTCCCACAGACCGGTTAAATAAGTCCTCTTCCATTAAGAAAGTACTCCTAATATCAATTTATTACCTGTATAAAAGACACCTGTCCACATAATCAATAAATCAGATTCCAACCTCTCCACCATGGGCAAGACCAAAGAGCTGTCAAAGTACCTCAGGGACATGATTGTAGACCTGCACAAGGCTGGGATCAGCTATAAGACCATCAGAAAGCAGCTTGGGGAGAAGGAGACTGTTGGTGCGATTATTCGGAGATGAAAAAAAATAAAATGGGCATCAATCAACAATCAATCGCTCACGGTCTGGGGCTCCACACAAGATCTCGCCCCGTGGGGTATTGATGATCATGAGAAAGGTGAGGTATCAGCCAAGAACTACACGGGAGGAACTTGTTAATGATTTCAAGGCAGCTGGGACCACAGTCACCAAGAAAACTATTGGTAACACACAACACCATAATGGATCAAATCCTGCAGCGCCTGAAGGCCCCATGCTCAAGAAGACTCATGAAAGGCCACCATCATTGTCACAAATGGGCAAGCTGAGAACTGGTACCAAGTCAGATTGGTGGGCTGTTTGGAGGACCTGATTTATTTACAAGAGAATGCTTCTCACCCCACAGTACAGGTCATCATCCTTGATGGAGCTGCTCTTGTGAATATGCTACGACCTGGTGCTGCTAAGACGTTTTTTGATTATGTGCAGAAAGTGTTCTCACCATACTGACATGCTCTCAGCTGGAGCATGTTAGCAGAGTCGATGTCGTGTGGGATGAATATTTCCCCGAAAGTCTGAAGGCTGAAACACGCAGCAAGAGAGGGAAGGGAGTTCATAGACACGTTGAGCCATCCAGTGTCATTCCTGGAAACTGGCCAGAGTTTCTGCGCATTGAAGACAAGAAGGCTGAACTGTTCTCCTTCCTGGCAACCAGTGTGACAGCCCTCAACACTGGCAAACAAATAATCAGTATTTGCACCATGCACACATGAGGAGGATAACCACATCCTACTGCACCTAGGAGATGCTGTGAAGGAAGGGTATAGTAAGGTGTCAATACGCACGGTTGACACGGATGTGGTAGTACTGGCAGTCACAGCAGCCCATGGGCGTCGCAGCTATTATATGAGGGTGGGACAAGTCCCCCCCACTTTTTCAAATAATTAGTTTAGACCCCCCCACTTTTACTATGCGGAAAGTCCGTGAATCGGTCTATCCACTCGCCGCACTTTGTAGAGCGCTGTGTCAGTGCTTCACTATCAAATGAAATCCATTCCACTTGCTTATTGAGAGAATGCCCAAATCAATGAAACTCCGTACCATGTTTTCACTGCTACTCTGTGCCAAGGCAGATTCTCACATAGCGCGCGCATGTTCAAGGCGTGTTGTCATAGTTGGACAGCTCAGATCTGTTGTATGAAGCGATGCCGGTAGCGGAGGTAAGGCACACACACCAAATGTTCAGGAAATGGTTAATACAGCGAAAATCAAAGCTGACGATCTCTTGGTTTGATTGTTTTCTCCCCCAGACAACATGGACATAAGAAAAAAAATTTCAAAGAAGAGGAAAGTAAGTCATCAGCTGGTAGCAGTTAATCAGTTAACAGTGATGGCGGCGTCTCACTTCTGGAGAGGAGTTTCGTCTTTATGTCATGATAGAGAGATACAAATACTGAATAGTTTAGATGAGAAAAGGCATCGAAATGCCAGGTTACTAGTATTTATCATGTAAACAGGGAACATGAATAACCCGATCTCTCTGCTCATGTAAACACCATATCCCCAATATGATCATAACCGGGATAATACTCATAAACGGCTTACTGATGTCCATGTAGAGACGCAGTCAGTGTGTTTTACTGGAGCCTCGGTTCGATAAGAGATTCTTTTCTGAGTTCTTTAACTTAGGTACTCTCTCTCAAAATGGTAATGTGCATTATGTTTTAATTATACTTCTTATCATTCAGAAGCTTTTTGTGTGTGTTTATGTTTTACTAAGTGCTTATAGGCTATTTCCATCCCAGTATTCAGTTAACTATTTATTTTCTGTGCACATTACATAGACTATAGCTAATATTCTACCTACTGCTTGGGACTTTGAGTCTTCAAAATGTCCAATGTCACAGACTGGGACTTACTTTAGAGTCAGTTGTATTTACATTCAGTATGACTTGTTATGATTCAATGTGAAAGAGTATACTGCT